AACTGCCGGTCAGTGCAAGTATACTGTAAAGACGCCGCGTGGCCACATTTTCGACAACATAAGCTCACTCGTAAAGTTCACTTCGCTCTCCATCAAGCGTAACTGCCGGTCAGTGCAAGTATACTGTAAAGACGCCGCGTGGCCACATTTTCGACAACATAAGCTCACTCGTAAAGTTCACTTCGCTCTCCATCAAGCGTAACTGCCGGTCAGTGCAAGTATACTGTAAAGACGCCGCGTGGCCACATTTTCGACAACATAAGCTCACTCGTAAAGTTCACTTCGCTCTCCATCAAGCGTAACTGCCGGTCAGTGCAAGTATACTGTAAAGACGCCGCGTGGCCACATTTTCGACAACATAAGCTCACTCGTAAAGTTCACTTCGCTCTCCATCAAGCGTAACTGCCGGTCAGTGCAAGTATACTGTAAAGACGCCGCGTGGCCACATTTTCGACAACATAAGCTCACTCGTAAAGTTCACTTCGCTCTCCATCAAGCGTAACTGCCGGTCAGTGCAAGTATACTGTAAAGACGCCGCGTGGCCACATTTTCGACAACATAAGCTCACTCGTAAAGTTCACTTCGCTCTCCATCAAGCGTAACTGCCGGTCAGTGCAAGTATACTGTAAAGACGCCGCGTGGCCACATTTTCGACAACATAAGCTCACTCGTAAAGTTCACTTCGCTCTCCATCAAGCGTAACTGCCGGTCAGTGCAAGTATACTGTAAAGACGCCGCGTGGCCACATTTTCGACAACATAAGCTCACTCGTAAAGTTCACTTCGCTCTCCATCAAGCGTAACTGCCGGTCAGTGCAAGTATACTGTAAAGACGCCGCGTGGCCACATTTTCGACAACATAAGCTCACTCGTAAAGTTCACTTCGCTCTCCATCAAGCGTAACTGCCGGTCAGTGCAAGTATACTGTAAAGACGCCGCGTGGCCACATTTTCGACAACATAAGCTCACTCGTAAAGTTCACTTCGCTCTCCATCAAGCGTAACTGCCGGTCAGTGCAAGTATACTGTAAAGACGCCGCGTGGCCACATTTTCGACAACATAAGCTCACTCGTAAAGTTCACTTCGCTCTCCATCAAGCGTAACTGCCGGTCAGTGCAAGTATACTGTAAAGACGCCGCGTGGCCACATTTTCGACAACATAAGCTCACTCGTAAAGTTCACTTCGCTCTCCATCAAGCGTAACTGCCGGTCAGTGCAAGTATACTGTAAAGACGCCGCGTGGCCACATTTTCGACAACATAAGCTCACTCGTAAAGTTCACTTCGCTCTCCATCAAGCGTAACTGCCGGTCAGTGCAAGTATACTGTAAAGACGCCGCGTGGCCACATTTTCGACAACATAAGCTCACTCGTAAAGTTCACTTCGCTCTCCATCAAGCGTAACTGCCGGTCAGTGCAAGTATACTGTAAAGACGCCGCGTGGCCACATTTTCGACAACATAAGCTCACTCGTAAAGTTCACTTCGCTCTCCATCAAGCGTAACTGCCGGTCAGTGCAAGTATACTGTAAAGACGCCGCGTGGCCACATTTTCGACAACATAAGCTCACTCGTAAAGTTCACTTCGCTCTCCATCAAGCGTAACTGCCGGTCAGTGCAAGTATACTGTAAAGACGCCGCGTGGCCACATTTTCGACAACATAAGCTCACTCGTAAAGTTCACTTCGCTCTCCATCAAGCGTAACTGCCGGTCAGTGCAAGTATACTGTAAAGACGCCGCGTGGCCACATTTTCGACAACATAAGCTCACTCGTAAAGTTCACTTCGCTCTCCATCAAGCGTAACTGCCGGTCAGTGCAAGTATACTGTAAAGACGCCGCGTGGCCACATTTTCGACAACATAAGCTCACTCGTAAAGTTCACTTCGCTCTCCATCAAGCGTAACTGCCGGTCAGTGCAAGTATACTGTAAAGACGCCGCGTGGCCACATTTTCGACAACATAAGCTCACTCGTAAAGTTCACTTCGCTCTCCATCAAGCGTAACTGCCGGTCAGTGCAAGTATACTGTAAAGACGCCGCGTGGCCACATTTTCGACAACATAAGCTCACTCGTAAAGTTCACTTCGCTCTCCATCAAGCGTAACTGCCGGTCAGTGCAAGTATACTGTAAAGACGCCGCGTGGCCACATTTTCGACAACATAAGCTCACTCGTAAAGTTCACTTCGCTCTCCATCAAGCGTAACTGCCGGTCAGTGCAAGTATACTGTAAAGACGCCGCGTGGCCACATTTTCGACAACATAAGCTCACTCGTAAAGTTCACTTCGCTCTCCATCAAGCGTAACTGCCGGTCAGTGCAAGTATACTGTAAAGACGCCGCGTGGCCACATTTTCGACAACATAAGCTCACTCGTAAAGTTCACTTCGCTCTCCATCAAGCGTAACTGCCGGTCAGTGCAAGTATACTGTAAAGACGCCGCGTGGCCACATTTTCGACAACATAAGCTCACTCGTAAAGTTCACTTCGCTCTCCATCAAGCGTAACTGCCGGTCAGTGCAAGTATACTGTAAAGACGCCGCGTGGCCACATTTTCGACAACATAAGCTCACTCGTAAAGTTCACTTCGCTCTCCATCAAGCGTAACTGCCGGTCAGTGCAAGTATACTGTAAAGACGCCGCGTGGCCACATTTTCGACAACATAAGCTCACTCGTAAAGTTCACTTCGCTCTCCATCAAGCGTAACTGCCGGTCAGTGCAAGTATACTGTAAAGACGCCGCGTGGCCACATTTTCGACAACATAAGCTCACTCGTAAAGTTCACTTCGCTCTCCATCAAGCGTAACTGCCGGTCAGTGCAAGTATACTGTAAAGACGCCGCGTGGCCACATTTTCGACAACATAAGCTCACTCGTAAAGTTCACTTCGCTCTCCATCAAGCGTAACTGCCGGTCAGTGCAAGTATACTGTAAAGACGCCGCGTGGCCACATTTTCGACAACATAAGCTCACTCGTAAAGTTCACTTCGCTCTCCATCAAGCGTAACTGCCGGTCAGTGCAAGTATACTGTAAAGACGCCGCGTGGCCACATTTTCGACAACATAAGCTCACTCGTAAAGTTCACTTCGCTCTCCATCAAGCGTAACTGCCGGTCAGTGCAAGTATACTGTAAAGACGCCGCGTGGCCACATTTTCGACAACATAAGCTCACTCGTAAAGTTCACTTCGCTCTCCATCAAGCGTAACTGCCGGTCAGTGCAAGTATACTGTAAAGACGCCGCGTGGCCACATTTTCGACAACATAAGCTCACTCGTAAAGTTCACTTCGCTCTCCATCAAGCGTAACTGCCGGTCAGTGCAAGTATACTGTAAAGACGCCGCGTGGCCACATTTTCGACAACATAAGCTCACTCGTAAAGTTCACTTCGCTCTCCATCAAGCGTAACTGCCGGTCAGTGCAAGTATACTGTAAAGACGCCGCGTGGCCACATTTTCGACAACATAAGCTCACTCGTAAAGTTCACTTCGCTCTCCATCAAGCGTAACTGCCGGTCAGTGCAAGTATACTGTAAAGACGCCGCGTGGCCACATTTTCGACAACATAAGCTCACTCGTAAAGTTCACTTCGCTCTCCATCAAGCGTAACTGCCGGTCAGTGCAAGTATACTGTAAAGACGCCGCGTGGCCACATTTTCGACAACATAAGCTCACTCGTAAAGTTCACTTCGCTCTCCATCAAGCGTAACTGCCGGTCAGTGCAAGTATACTGTAAAGACGCCGCGTGGCCACATTTTCGACAACATAAGCTCACTCGTAAAGTTCACTTCGCTCTCCATCAAGCGTAACTGCCGGTCAGTGCAAGTATACTGTAAAGACGCCGCGTGGATTGAATTGTATTTATAGAACACAACAAAATAGACCATGGAATCTTAGTTTTCGTATAGTATGAATTTATGGTCTCTAAACGAGATTAAACATTTTCGACGGTTCCCGCATTCTTCAGACTGTTATGATGTATGAATTTTTTTTATTGCACAACATTATTTATGTATTAATTATATAATTGTTTTATAAAATCTGTCTTCAAAAATTATTGGTATTCATATATACCTTTTACTAAAATAGTTTATGTAATAGCAGTAGATAACTTTTTCTATATATAGTTTTTTAAGAATACTTATATTATTTTTTCCACCATTTGAAGAAGTAAATAAATCAATACATTAAATGTCATTCATAATGAGTCAAATTTAATTCTTATTCTTGTACTGAAAATATTTCTTTGTTAATTATGTTTTTATTAATGATGTTTTATTATTAATAATTAATCTTATTTAATAGATATCGTAAATTAATATAAAATACATGTTTATTACAAGAATGCTAAATTTATTAAATGATTTTCATAAAAAACAAATAATTTTGTATTTAAAGAAATCAAGTTCCGATTAAATGTATTTATAAAAAATTATAATGATATTAAATGAAATATAATTTATGACTAAAATATTAAAAATTTTTAAAATATTCAATTTATAATAGATTTTCAAATTCGATAAAGCTTATCAATAATTTTATCAATAAATAGAAATTAATACGTAAGCATTTTATATATGTAATAAAATTTATATAATTTTTTAACAGTAATTTTTATTTAATTCTATTAATCTCTTTAAGATTTGAATTGCATAAAAGTTGTCGATTTCTAACAATTAAGGCGAATTTGTGTTTTTTAAAGAGTATAAATATTCTTATGCTCTATATTTATGAGTGTGTTCTAACTTTTATAATACTCTTTTCAATATTAATTTTGATTGGTTGTTATCTACCTTATATTTTCTATTAAGTTTGCTTTCTAGCTTCCATCCTGGTGGTGCATTATTGAAATAGAAAAAGAATAAACAGACTTGCTTAAAATTTTGTAAGAAAGTTTAGAATAATAATGTACGTATTTATATAATATTGCATAATTATATAAATTGTATTATTTAAAGTGTGTGATAGAAAATTAATGCAGTACACGATGAACCCAGTACATGAAAAATATTTGTATAAAGCTTAAAAAATTATAATAAAATGGTATGATACAGTATTGTTATGAAGACTTATAATTGTATTCATTTTATAGAATAAATATAAAATTTTTGAACATATTGTAATTATTTTAAGTAGAGATAAGTTGAGCGAAAAAGTTCTAAAATAGCTTAATTAGTTCACTTATGTCTTCAAATTACTCGGTTATTTAACAAATACAACTATCGTTATGTTTAAAATAAACAACAATCTTATTAATAATTATAATAAAAATAACACTATTCATCATGAAATCAAAATATGCTATAAAAAAATGTAAGTAATATTAACAATATTTGTATGAATTATTTATAAATTTTTAGAAATGATTTTTTACATAAATCTTGTGTTTATTTTTACATATTCATTTTTGTTCGCGCGCTCTTGTGTGACAACATATTTATATATTCATATGTATAAACATTATGTATAAATAAATAATGTAACATTTAAAAAAAAATAGAATTAAAATTTGTATGAGTGAATATTAAAACATAAAAATAAGTTTTAATTGCTTATTGTTAGTACCAATAAAATCAGATTAATAAACCTTGGTTAACTTAAATATTGATATTTTTTCTAGAATTCAAGTAAATTTATTTAAAAATAAATAAGGAAAAAAATCGTTTTATATAACCTTTAAATTCTAAATATTGTAAGCTTTTTCTATGCAATGATTTATTATTCCATTTTTATTGAGATAAATATTTGTATACTGAAATCTTATTTTGTATTAAGTTTTTTTTATATAAGCCTCATAGATAATTTTTTAAGATTTTTTTTATAACATTTATATATATCGCAATATTAACATGAGTAGTTTTAAGCCCAATCTTGCATTTAAAGATATATAAGAAGACATTTGAATTAGATTTTCAAATTTAAATATCTGGTTGAAGGAGTTCGAACAAATACTGATAATAAATTTTATTTACTTATATTTATTGAATTTTGTTAAGTGACAGAAATGAGAACAAATAAAAGTACTTTTATTATATTATAGTGCGTACAGAGTGCTATAGATTATAACTTAATATCATTAAAATAATATAGAAAGTATTATTTCCTAATAATATCTTTGTAATATGTTTTGAAAAATATTGTTGAAGTTATTTATCAAAATAAATTTACTTAATAATCAATCAATTTTAAAGAAAAATTTTTATTATTTTTATAGAGATACATTTTTAATACATTTACTTATCTTCGATTATTTATTTCGTTATATATATTATTATTAAATGATTTTGAAAAACTTAAAATTTAAGCAATGCTTCAAATTAAAATTTTAAATTATCCAGTGATCTATTTCAATTTCATATTACAATAAATTTTTGTTCTTTCTATGTTTTTAAAATTTAAATTAGTTCTTTCTGAAAATCTATTTTTTATCCAGTCTTCTTTGAATGACAGTTTGGTTTTGTGGTACATAAATTGGTATTAAGATAGCAGATTGTCTATAAAATATACTAAATAATTAATAGATCTTTGTTAAAAATATGTACATTGAAGTATTTATTTACTCCTATACAATTATGCTACTTTTTACTATTTTTAACTCAATGCCCAATGAAACATGCTTATAATCTTCATTATTGTTTTTATTAATCCCATGAATAGGTATTTCTAAAAATTTTGTATAACTTAGAGTAAGTATTATTATACACGTAGGAGTGATACTTATTTAAATATTGGTAACAAATAATAAATTTTGTTATCTATTTTATTATTTGTTACCAATATTTAAATTTAAAGAAGTACAAAAGTATAAGTTAATGAAATTAATGCTTTGAAAAAAGTGAAAATATAATGCATTAATAAGTTTTAATAAATTTCAAAGATGGTATAAAAATAATATGGTCAAGAACCTATTTAAACTATGTATTTTTATATTTGCTTATAAGATATAAAATCATAAATAATAATACAATTGTAAATACATTGTACAATCATAAATACAATTGGCGTATATGTGATAAAATTACTTAAAAAGTTGACTCTTATCGATACAAAATTGCATGTAGATATATTGTAATTGATATCATTATCAGAATTATATTAGAATACTTAAATTAGATTATTATTTTTAAGATGATACAAAATTTGTAGATTAAATAAACAGAACTTTATAATGGTTTTAAAGATGTTAAGTATAAACCAAATCAATACAAAAATGAATTATTTACTCATTTTATAGGATCTATCATAGTATTAAAAAGAAAGGATTATTAATATAATATTGATATTTTTAGCTATTATATGATTATTATTGACAAGAATTTATTTCATTAAATAACTAACATACATAATAATTAATGATATTAACATAATACCGAATAAAGAATTAGACTTTGCAATCATCTATAATAAAAATATATGCAAGAAATAAATATTTTTTATTTTACGTTTTATAGCAGATAAAAATTTGGAAGTTACAATATAATGACTAATATAATATAATAGAATATAATAGAATTTATAATTTATATAATTCATGAACCATATTATAGTATAAAAAATATATTTACATACTAAATCATTAATTGTTGAAATTTTAATTTTACCTAAATAAAAATTTTAGAAAATACTAATAATCAAAAACATAATCTGTTATAAGTTAATGAACTTTAAATGCGTATCAATTCATTTTCACTTAGGAAAATTATAATAATTTAAGACTTATGATTAAAAAAAAAGAAATAATTTCAAAACATTAAAATAGTTTTTCATTTTCAGAGTAGTTTAAAGAATGAAAATGATGGCAGTGCACGTAGAATGCCATGAAAAGAAAAATTTGAACTGTAAAAATCAGTCTGTAATAAATATAGACTGTCATTGTGCACCATTTGAGAATAAAAATTATTTAGAAATGAAGGAGCTTGTATTTACACCATCTGATGTTCAAAAAAATCATTCAGATCCTACTCTAAGTGCTAAAAAATTGCCTAAAAAAAGAAAGTTTGACCCTTCTGAACTTGATGAGTTGGGAAAAATAAATGATAATTATGAAACTTTAATCACGGGAAATATTATTAATAGGCCATTGATTCAATCAACAGCTTTATCTCTGTCAGGACAATCACAAACTTTTTTATCAAAAACGACTGAACTATATCAGGTAATATTTTAAAGATTTATATAAAATTATCTATAATTATTACTAGCTTTAATTTAGTTAGATAATTTATTCTAGTTTTTATTTATAAATACATTGCACTTAACCAGCAATAATAATTTATTACAAAGAAATAAAACTTTTCTAATTCATCTTAATTTTAAGTTTTTTTTATCATTTAAATTTTACATATTTTTTTATTATTTTAAAAATCATTATAATATGACATGAAAATTTACATTTATGCTGTCTTCACTATCTGTGTATCAACATCAAGAAAAAATCTGAAATTATATTTAATAGTTTAATTAAATTTAGTCTAATTAAATTTGGATAATAATAAGCTATAATGATATTTACCATTTACAAACACCATTATAACATAATCACCGGCCTTAGAGTAATCTCTGCACCTTTTGAATTTAAAATTGAATCCATTGGAAATTTGAAACCTTGACTTCCACATTTTTTCCATATTTTTATATGTGGTCGTTTACTAAATCATTATTTCTAACTCTCAGCGTAAGAGGTGGAAGTTAAGATAAGGAAAATTTAATATAATTGTAGAAATAATGCGTTCAACGAATACAGTTTATTGTGTCTCAATATGATCTACAATATTTACAAGTAATTTTTTTTTAACGACTTTTGATGTACGAAATACATCATCAATAAAATACAGATTTTCATAACGGAAGAAATAAATTAAAGATCGTATTTATAACTAATATATTATATTAATTTTAATTGTTTTATAAGTTAATAGTTTAGTACTGTATTATAATCAGTAATACTTTCTTCGGAGAAATTTATTTTAATTGCAAAATCAATTTCAATTTAATCTTTTATGGATTGTTATAGATCTTTATAATCTATAATAAATATTTGAAATTATTTTTTCTGTAGTAATATTAAATTAATATTATGAAACGATATTGTGATATCACTCTTTTTGTCCTAAATAATCAATATGCTATAATCTTACTAGTGTTCCCTTTTTCGTAATTTCTTATATAATTAATATTTTCATTTATAAATTTATTTCCATTTGTTGTTCATATTGTTCGTAATTAGAGCATTTTTCAAGATATTGAAAATCGGAGAAGTATAAGCCTTCTAACTCTCGTTTGTAAACATTGATTCCGCGATTTCTCGAATATTCTATGCCTTATTTTCGAGTGTCCTACAATATTTACGCATAGCAACGTCGATTGGAAATTCTTGGACCTTCTAAAGCTTTCTCTTTGTGGAATTCTCGAAAGTTTTAGAGCTTTATCTTCTGATGTCATGCAAGACGTTCGCATAGTAACACCTATACGTTGTTGCCAGCTAAGTAAGCTGTCGCGTAGATATTTAAAGGAAGCACATCACGCCACGCAGCTCATTGTACTTACATCATTCAGTCAGACATTACAGCAATAAGCAAGTTACTCAGTTACCTCGATAAGTGAAGCCATTATATTCAAAATATGTTCAATTCTCAAACGTGCAATAATTGAAAGCAGTCAAGAATGCAGACTGCATTACACGAGCGGCCACAACTACAAGAAGCGCAATACTTAGGCACTCATCACAGGATCCAGTAAGATAACCGCATCTCTGAGTACCAACAAAAAGGCCATCAAGGCCCTCGAACTAATGTGCAACTAGCAGAGACAGTAAGACACAGCGTGCGACCAAGAAAGGCCCACAAGGCCTTCCTAGAGGGAAATAAGACACCACATGTAGTCAATAAAACCAATCTAGTGAGGAGAACTCGATACATTACCATCACGCGGCACTACAGGAAGAAGTATTAGAGATTTAAGACCTCCTACTTTTCAATGTAACAATTCACCACCAAGCATACTATTGTCAAAAAGGGTCCGGAGATTTACGACCTCCTACCTCTGCATGTAGTGCATGCTAACGCCACGTGGCAACCATCACGAAACTGCAAGATCTCACCGCTTCTCATCGCCATCTTAGAATCATAATTGTGTAGCTTGTAAAATAAAAGGCAATAAACAGCACGATAAGCAAACGTGTAAATATTAAATATTAAATATTAAATGCGCTATCCCTTCCACTTGCCTGCATTTCTTTCCTCCACCAGGCAACTGGGCAAATATCACATTCACGTTATTACACATTGCTACATCCATCTCATTAATAACACTTTATCCTATTGTATTATGTGATAGTTATTTATTCTATTACTAATATTATATATTTTTCGTAGATGATCTTTCAGATCCCGAATGTTCAAGAATTGGTCTAGAAATATGAATATTAAATATTTTTCTAAATTATATAAACATTATAGTTTTTATTGTTGCATAATAGTATTTATTTAATCTATTATATTAATACACATGTATATATATGTATATATATCAATTTTTTATATTACAGTTGTCAACAGATATTATTATTCCACCTCAAAAAACTGCAGTAAATTATTCTTTAAGAGATGAATCCTTTCGTCACGAAAGTTATAATCATCAATCAGCAACTTCTACGATACCTATAGTTAGAGTTAATATTGATTTAAATGAATGGAAAGACCATCGCATTTTAGCTCTCCGTAATAATCATTATTATCCTGGAGTTATAAAACATGCATCAGAAGAAACTTTATTGATTGAGTTAGATACAGAAAAGGAATTAATAAAATTTAATAATATCCTTACCAGTAGAAAATATGACGTAATAAGTGATGCATGTCCATCGTCAAGACAAATATCTTTGGACACGAAAGTGTGCTTTCGTCAACCGAATTTTGCAAATCTTAGTGAGCAAGAAAAACTTACTAATGTATTTTCAATTGGAATTATTTGTAAAATATTAGTAAAGCCTACACGATTTATTGTAGAAATGTTATCAAATAATGAAAACTACATTGTTAGAAGAGCTGACCTAAGACTCATTCGACCTCCGTGGTGGGACGAACTCGAAGAAAGTTATGAAGATAATAGAACCCCGTGTTTAGGGTTAAATGGTAATATTATCTTGTTTTTTCATTATTCATCATATGTTTATTATGAAAATTAATTTCTGAAAATTTGTATTTTAATTTGCATTAATACAATTATTTTGTTACTAAAATATATATCTACATATATCATAATTAAATAATTAAATAATTTTTAGTTTTAAATAGATTTTATTCAATATTTGTATTGAAGTACTAAAATGATAAATAATAAAAATATAATTGTTCTTGACAATTACGATATTTATGTTTATGTACTTACCAATAATAATAATTGATGCTATATATAAACAGACTTCAACATCTATCAATATAATCTTTACGAAATTGAAAGTGGTTATAAATATATGTTGAAAAAAATTTGAAAAAAAATTCTAAATCGAAAAGAATAAGAAAGTATTGAAATAGATATTTTTAAAAAATAACTTTGATTTACTGCTGTTAATATATGTATTTAATAGTACACATTTAATTTACTTAATTAGTTTAGGGTTTTTTTATAAATACTTAAATATATTACAAAAGTCTATATTTAAATAAAAAATACATGTACATATTCAAACATCAAATATAATAATAAAGTACTAAATATATTTCAACATATACTAATTTTGAAATTAAATGTTTATCATTACAATGAAACAGCATCAACAATAGAAAGAATTTTAAAGTATTACAATGTTATTTTGTACTTACTATTAAACCATTTTATTCATAATTTCGTTCTAAATTATCTAATTTTGTTCGACACCCTATGCTTTTTTATAGCTTACAAAAAACTTTAAAAAATTTATACTTTGATATATATAGCATTCATTATTTTGTGAATGTTCTGTAAGCTTATATTATCAAACATGAATATATTCGTATTAGAAATTTATAATTTTTTGTTTAATAAATAAATATTTTTAAAATGTAATAAAAGTAGGTAAATGCCTGTTCTAAATATAAATTTTACTGTATTTTTATAGTAAAATAATGTGCAATCTTTTATTATAAGAGAATTTTAGTTTAATATGTTTTTATGATTTATTATGTAAATGTATTGATCCTAAATATACAAAATTCATTTTTTTTTTGTTTTACCAAGTATAACAACGAATTAATTACTCCTAAATATCAATTGATTCATATTAAATAAAATTACATATTATGAAAGAATTTTTAAACAGTAACTAAAAATTTTACAAAATAATAGTATGTTACTAATATTTTTCGAAATACACTTCGAAACCAAAATTTGATAAAATGAAGTATGAGGATAAAAACAAAACGAAAAAGTATAATGATTCAATAAAGGAAATGAATAATGAAAAATTATTCATTGAGTTTGATAAAATCAGGCAACAGTATAGTAAATAATTTAGCATGCAAAGAACATTATATAATTTACATTAATTAGTATTTTTAGTCGTAAAAAGTAGTATACATTTAATATAATACATTATAATTAAAAGTAATGTTATATACAATTGTTTTAGATGATAATACTTACCGTAATCTTGAATCGTCTGACTTATTGCAATCTGTTAAATCATCAGAAGACAATGTTTATGAAAAAATAAAATGTTGTTACCGAACTACTGGAACAAGTCCACTAATTCCATTATCAGTAACTGTACATACATCAAACATCTGTAGTAATGCAGAGAGAACGTATGATGATTTTGAAAGTGAAGATGATCTTGACAGAGAAGATATTGCTTTTCCACTTGATCCAGGTAAAGACGTCTAAAAAATAATTTTAACTATAAATAATTAAAAATATATTTTCATATTTAGATTACATCTGTAAATAATAATGTTTCGTATTTGTAAGATATCAATTAACATTTGCTTTATGTACTTTTGTATAAAAGTGCCTATTTATTAATTACGTATAGAATGTAAATTATTTATATATATATATATATATATATATATTATAATGATTGAACTCTCTTATTAAAATTATTTTTTTATATTAAACTATATAATCATATTCAGTTTATTATGTCGAAATAATGTTAGTATAAATATTTTTAGAGATATAAATAAAAATTAGAAATAATAAAAAATTTAAAATAAAAAATACAACAACCTCTAAAATTATAATTAATATTTATACATAATATAAAAATAGCATTCTTTTTGATATTATTAAAAATAAACGTACATATCTGTAATTTTTTTGAAAAAAAATGTATACTTTGATTGGTCGCTAATACTCATTTATATGACTCAAATACTTACAAATATTAAAATACAATAAGATAAAAGATGCAGATATTCTTAATCTCTTACTTGCTAATCCTATTCAGTAATTATTTTATTAATTTTGGAACAAGTATTTAATATAAATAAAATATTCAAGTCACGGTAACTGAATTTGAACATTTATTTTAATATTTCCTTTGTTTAAGCCAATTGTATTAAAATATACATTTAGATTTTTTATATAATTTTATTTGTAAACCTGAATTCTATTATATTAATAAAAGTATTTTTTCTTAATAATAGTAGTTCCTGGCTAAATGTCTTGTGTTAATATTATTACTGCATTTGACTCCTTTTGGGACTTTTTCATAATCAGTTTTATTTTATAAACAATTACATATATTTTGCAGAAATTCCTCAATGATCCCTTTATGGTCTTGCCTATTACTTATCGTTCATTATTCGGAAATCATTAGGATTGAAGCTACAATTTATATTTATAGAATTTAATACATGTGTTTTTTTTAAATATAGCGTCAATTTTATATTCAATTTAATAATTATATTTTATATGTAATATGCATTTTTCAGATATAAAATTATCTGGTAGCAGTAAAAGAAGTAGTATGCAAAGCCGCGGTAGCACTAGCAGCTTGATTGAACAACGAAGTATAACACCCCGATCGCAAGCAACTACACCTAGGTAATTTAAATTCGTTCTAATTCCAAATGTATATACATAAAACAGTTTTACAGGATCTATATATACTATATAATAATTTAATATGTAAATATTACAGTTAAAAGCGTAATTTAACTAATATTCATATGAATCATTTACTCCTCTCATTTGATTTTTTGAATCTTAAAATATTCTTTAGTAATTTGTTTTGAAAAATTAAAATAATTATTTGCATTTTGAGTCTCGGTACATTTTAGAAGAGTGTGCTAACAAAATATTCGAAAATGTTGTTAACGTGTCTTATCAAATACAATATAAATCATATATGTCACAAATAATAAATAATAAGGTACTATTTTACATTGTCTGAAGTAAATAACAATCTTCACTTGTAAATATATAATTATGAATATCTTACATTTCATAATAAATTATATATATTATATTATTTTATTTATATTTTGTGAATTTAATTTGTAATAATACAATAAATTACATTACAATATCTTTGTATTTTTTGTTAATGAAGTGAGAATAACTATAAAACTTGATATATAATATAAGCATATATGTCCATTGTAAAACCGATAATTATAAATTTTTTTGTTATTTTAATTAATTTTAACTTCAAGTATTTCAAAGTTGCCTAATCAAATATTTAAAAAAAATTTCTAGAAATTTGTTCCATTTATTTAATGATATTAAAAAAGAAAAGTATTTTATTGTATTCTAGAAATATTATTCATACAATTAGAATTTTTGCTTAATTTTGCCTATGTAGCAGCATCTTGTACTCTCTTGTTGAATATTTAAATAGTTGATAAATAATACTGCCAGCTTGTTTACAAATTATTATGACTGAATTGTAAATTATGTACTTTGAACTAATCATAATATATACATTACATAGTTTTAACATCCAATATCCAATGTAATGCTATTACATTTTTAGACTTGAAATTTTTTCCGTTCCATGTACATGTATTATATGAATGTAATGAATTCTATATAAATTCAAATATAATTAATTTGGTATTATATTATTCATATTGTATCGACAATGTATTATTTTTCGGGAATTCTCTATATTTCTACGGAAGATTAATTTTATGAAATGTATAAGTCATGTGGTCGGTCCCTAGGAGTTACCAATTCTTCTACGTAGTGCAACTAAAATATTATTTTTAAAATAATCACAACAATTACTTCCTTTGCATTATCTACTGATTTTTTTTCTGTAAGCTATTGTAATCATAATTTCATTAATATCTACATGCAGTTTTATTTTTAAATATTTCAAAAATATCAAATCTCAACACAATTTTCAATACTTTTATTTATGATGCCGTAAAGTCTATTGTTGATTATGTCTTTTTGTAGACTAATTATAACATATTACAACATATATAAAATAAGAAATCTTATTTTTGTCTTCCAGCAGATTATTTATTATAAACAGCTATTAATTTTTTAATTTACCATGATTTCTTGCTTTTTAAATATTTTTTTTAAATAAACTTTTAACAATATTTTATTTTGTTATATTTTTCTTTGTCTTTTATATATATTTGCAAGTTCAATAATATTTATAAAATTTTAATATTAACCAATTATCAAACATGTATTTGCTATATACTTATTAAATAATTTTTCGACAGTAAATGACAAATAATATCTTATAATTTGTATTATTTGTTTTTTATATTGAAACATTAATTCAATGTATCATTTAGTATAAAAAGTTTTACATACAATTATATATGCAAAGGTAAACAGCTTTTTCATTGTTTGCAATGTATTTTATATTTTCAATGATTGATTTTAACTATTTGATCCTTTTATTATTCTATATTTAATTATATTGTATTTATTTAAAAAAATTTATTTAAAGTATTTATAAAGTGGTGATTTTAACAAATTTATCTATATATATATATTACTACATATTATCAGAAATAAATTGTTAGGTAACTTGCTACAATTAAGTCAGCAATATAACAACACTTTTTTTTAATATTTATATATTAAATTTTTTTTGGATCAAATATAATAAAAGTGGTAAAAAATTAAATACATTAAATCCTTTAACATATTAAAGCATTGAAAACAATTATATCTAAAAAATATTATGCTTAAATATTATTTTAGATTTACTCTTTTATAAACCTTACAATTCATTGGGTACACATAATAAATAATATAAGGTATTAATTTTATTTAATATTGCAATTTTGTTTTTGTATTAAATAAGTGTTAATATTAAAAATATATGTATGCAAATTAATCGTATATAAAAAATTTCATTAAAAATTTTTATTTACAAACAACAATTACTATTAAAATTTCAATGATTTAGAATTATTTTTATTTGGTTTATATCAACAGTGTATGAAGGAGTAAAAAGATATTTCTGTACATTTAAATATATTTATTTATTACACGTATTTAATAATATATATATATATATATATATATATATATATATATATATATATATATATATATATCTACTTATCTATTTGTAAAATCATAAAAAACTACTAATAATTTGAGGTTTTACAAAGTGTAATGCTACCAAAATACTAAATTAATATTTTGAAAGAATCTTAATTTTGATTTATATTCTATCTAATATTGTATATAATAATTTAATGTTATTTATTCAGTTAGATTTTTATTTAGGACAATTAATTAATTTTAATAGTAACATTTAAGATGGCAGTTGATATTATGTTTGTATACAAAAATTATTTTAAAATGCTACTTTTTTAATTATATGAATCTTATAGATCGCAGGCAGCTACACCTCATAAATATAAAAAAGGAGATGTAGTCGTTACACCGAGTGGTATTCGTAAAAAGTTCAATGGTAAGCAGTGGAGACGCTTATGTAGTAAAGATCCGTGTACTAAAGAAAGTCAGCGTCGTGGTTTTTGTTCTCGACATCTGAGTTTAAAAGGATCAGGATTACGAGGACCAAGTGGAACTTTTTCTAGTAAAATAGATTGTGAAGATACATCACGAGATTCAGATACTTCTCCAAATTATGCCGAAAGACGAGTAACCGGCCGATTCGACCAAGATGAAACCGAAGCAGCTAATATGCTAGGTATAATATCGGTTTTACTGTCCCAAAGAAGTTCACCTAGTTTGACTTATATTTATAGAGCTTAGCTTTAGTAAAAATATATTTAATTTACTTTTGAATAAAATCAGATGTATTTTAAATTGCAGAAGCACTTTTAGATTCATAATTCAAAATAAATATACTTTTAAATAGTGGGAGTATTTTGCTAAAAATTGATATTTTTTATACTCAAAGCTTAATAGAATGTTTAAAATACAGTTTATTGTTCATAGTAAAACCATAATTAAATAAGAATATATATATATATATACATATAAACATTTTTATAAAGAAAATTTGTATGACTATAGCAAACATATATAGATTTTAAATCACGATTAAAGATACAATAGGTGTGATCAAATTTGATGTTTTTCTATAGAATTAAATTTATTTATGGCCAGCATTAAATAATAAATGACTACTAGAACTCATTCATTAATTTAGTGCAGTCTTTATTCTGAATATTTTTATGCATTTTTTAATAATGCAACCAGCTGATAATTTCATTTTTAACTTATGAAATTTGCATTAATAAATACGTAAAATAGGTGCTTCACTAATAAAAAAAATTAACTTAGCTATGATATTTGTTATCTAAGGAAAATATGTTATAAATATAAATGTTTAAAAATTGAATAAAATTTCTTTTTAAGTATATCAGTGTGTGTGTGTGTGTGTGTGTGTGTGTGTGTGTGTGTGTGTGCAAATTGATATTATGTGACACATAAAAGTATATTATTTATTTAACTATTGAGTACGGATTGATATATTCACACAAAATACTTCCTAGTAATTATTTTTCATTTAAAAAATACAGTCATATACTTGCTAATACAAACCTAGTTATTGACGTTATAAAAATTTATTGTATTTATTGGTAATATTTAGATTTGACTGTAACAACTTTTCTAATTCTGTATGTAAAAATTAATTAATATAATTATAAAGAAATAATAAAAAAAATTTCAGTAACCATTTTATTGTATTTTTAGTATCTCTTGGAAGTTCACGTTCGGCAACACCAGCATTTTCTTCGCCTACTGGTCAATCTTCTATTAGTCCGTGTGTTAATATTTCACCGATATCTTCTTTGGGATTAAATCAAAATAATGTGTTTATGCCAATATCTAATCCTGGACAAAGTGTTGCACCTTTAATATCACCGAATATTAATAAATGGAAACAGTCGTCCCCTCAAACTAATTTTTTTGTACATTATAATGATCAACCAGTTATCAAACCAGAACCGAATCGTATGATATATCCTTGCAGAACATCACCCCAAATTATAAATCCTACGAGTATTAGTACTAGTGTAATAAGAATTTCACCTGTTGCAAATCGCACGGTAAATAGTAGTCAAAACCTAGATCTTGCATGGTCAAAACATAACTCGACAAAGTACAGTATACGTCCATCTACAGTAACAGAACAACATGCAATTATTCTTCAAAATGCTCTAACATCTGTTCAAAATTGTTCGTCGATTTTTAATATTTCTAGTTCGAAAAATTCCAGTTGTCTACAATCATCTAAATCACCATTAAGAAATAGTGTTACGGGGCAAAACGAAAACAATGATGAATCTGTTGATTTTATACAATCACCTTCAATACATAGTAATGAATCCTCTATCTACTTCGCTAATGGCAAGCCTGAAACTAATTTTTTGGTAATTAAGAATAGTTCAGATGTATCTACGGTAAGTAAGATTCTACAAGAAGAACCGTTCCAATTAAATATTGATAATTGTGCTCTTAATCAACCAAATACGTGTCAAATTGCAAATCAGCGCCAACACCTACATAATCCAAATAGTATACAAGATCAGACTATAAATGTCTCTGAGAGTTTCATACGATCAACTAATAAAATATCAATGTACCAGGTAATAAAAGTAGTACTCTTAATAACTATAACATACAACAATAAATAATAAAAATTTTGAAAACAATGTTAAAAATAATAAACATCATTGATTCTATGAATTAAATATTTTTGTGTTTCTATACTCGCTCTAAAATTAATATATATATATTACTTTTTTATATAGTATATTATATATACGTATCTATAGATGTAAGATTAACATATAGTATTAATATTTTAATAATATAAAAACTATTCATTTTATTATATTAAATTCAATTTTTATACTCTACATAGTTTAAATTATACATTTCTGCTAATTCTGTCAATATTGAAAAATATCAAATTATTGAGTCGCTAACTTTCGTCGCTAACTAGTTTTAATGTATTTAGTTATTGAATTCTTTGGATTGTTGTTAGTGTACATAGTATTGTGATTTTTTTTTGTATTTGATTAAATTTTTATCCTTACTATATTTCCTAAGATAAGATCGAGTACTGTTAAAATTTTATATATGTGCAAAACTATATATAACTACATAATTATATAGTGTATCTATATCATTTTCGATGTAATAAATATTTATATGTCGAAAATATACATTTTTTAGGAAGATGATCATAATGTTAATATTTCAAATATACGGAAATCACCTATAAGTGTTGTAGTTTCGCCTATTTCTACAAACAAAATTTCAACTCCAACCAGTATTTTTCAACATGTTATAGTTCAACCAAATGCACGATCTATTAATGCAACAGAAGTAATTAATAAAGATGAAAATTCGAAAAATAGTAAGTTATAAAATATTTATTATTTATTTATAATTGAATTAATAAAATAATACAATTATTTTTATTCTAATTATAAATAATACAATATATTATATAGTAATTATAATAATAACATATTAAATTTCTAATTTCAAATTGGATAATTATGGGATTTTAAAAATAATGTTGCACAAGTATCATTATTCTTATAAATACAATGATTGTATAAAATATTCGAAATTTTTCTTTTGACTTTCATTGTTTATATTAAAAAAATTTAAAAACAAAACGAAATAAATATTTTTGAAAAATCCTACACAGAGATAGTTTTTTGAAGATTAGAATATTTTCATTATTAACATATATTTCATACATTATAAAATACAAAATTCAAAAATAAATTTGAATATAAATCGCATCTTCTAAGACCAATTTGATATTATAAATAAGTCATAATTTTATATTAAATTTTCCATTATATTTTAGCCAAGCTGTTGAAAGTTATAATACAAATTTTATTGTTAACGGAAAAAATATAACATTAATAAGTTGGATGAAGATTGTAATAAAAATAACATAAGCTTTTACTCCTAATGGAATATAACGATAAATTAGTTTAATGAATTTGTTAATAATTATTAAAAATGTAGTTAATAAAAATGTTTAGTGTTTTATAATTACATATTTAATGATATGTTAATATATTACTTATTTTAAATGTAAGAATTCAATACAACTATCATAAATTGTACATTAATATGTCATAAATACTAATGAAAAATTAATTATGAAGTTTTTTGGATTATCGGATAATTATATCGATTTATAAAAAAAATTATTAATTGACATATTTAGAAAGATATATATAATGCCCGTTTCGTATAATTAACTATTTACACTATATATTAAATTCGCGGTAAAAAATATATTATGTCATGTTTTCATATTAATTTTCATTCATATTTTAGCAGGTATATTAGAAACGAATACACCAGAAAGAAAAGATATTAGTCTATCTCTTTCTACTTTAAGTCCTCCTTTAAGTGCACCACCAGCACCTGTTATTCTTAATAACATATCAGATGAAAATCAAATTACGGAAACCTTAATACAGCAGCAAGAAGAGGAAGATGATGATGACGATGTGTTCGAAGCTGAAACGTCTACACATTTAGAAAACGAAAATAATTCTAACAAAAGACGCTGTCATTCACTTAGTGCATTACATTCGAAAGAACCTCAAAGTCCTACAAAGGTATATAATTAAGAATATATAACCGAATTTATAATTATATTTTAATATATTAAATAACTATGAAACCAATTTTTACACAAAAAACATTTCTTTATAATCGACGATATGAAACCCAGATTTCATTTAATGCAGTGGTCTATATTTACTGTTAATTGTTATATATTTTTTTATATTATTTTAAAATTACAATTTTGTATTTGGTTATATATGTTTGAAGTTTTATTTCTGAAAATTTGTTCATCATTCATTTGATATTTTAAAAGGTTTATGAATTTTATAGCAATCATAATAAAGAAAATAATTTAGACCTCAAATATAAATCAGGTATATAATATTAGAAATAAATATAATAAATAAAGATAATGATATGAACTAATTTATTAATAACAATGATTTTTTCGTTTAAAAATATTTAAAAAATTCTAAAGAAATATTGAAATTAAAGACAGTGTAACATTAAAAATGAATACTTTATAAATTACGGTTGTAAAATTTTAGCATATAATTAACTATTAATTAAATAATGTAATTATAAATTACTATTATATTTATGTCTAAAACAGTTTATTTGTAAGGAGTAGTGGAGATAAAAGAATGATATGTGGAAGGCGCCTCACCTGAAATAACAAATACAAACTGAAAATGTTATGATTTTATTTTCTGCGCATCTGATAGATTTTAATGTATTCACTGATGAAATGAAAATTGTAATAAAATGTAGACTAAAAGTTTTTAAAACAAATAGTACTTATTTAGTTGTATCAATTAGTATTAATTAACAACCATGTTTTATATAGTTTTATAATATATTTAATGTCTATTTAGAAAATAGTGAACTAGTCTTCGAATATTTAATAATCTTCTTAGTATTTAATAGCTCAAGAAATCGGATAAGACATTACATTTTACATTCTAGTATTGTCAAAATGTTTTATAAAATCACACGCAAAAATAAAAGTTCATATATGTGTAATGGTAGTGATTGCATGAAATTCAAATACACATTTTGTTTATTATCAAAATATTATTTAGGAGATTTCATATGAACAAATACTTTGCTCGTCTCTAATTTATTTAATTTTCTTTATTGGTAATTATTATTTTACAAGATATAGCCAAAATTTATTTATTGCCTCTGCGTCTATACATTTAGTATTTTAATTCTGTACATGAAATGATTTTTAAATTTTTTCAGAGATTTTATAATTTTATTTAATTTTCATTTATTTAGGATGATTTGAAGGTAACACAAGATTAACATTAATGTTTTTTTATTATAAGCTTTATATTATTATTTATATGATATATAATTATCATAAATTTACCGAACAATATTTATAAACTGTTAAATGATTATAAATTTTAGGGTAATTGTTTAGAATTAGTCTAAAGACCACTAAGTTTTATGTGGGATAAAGCGTACGGGCAAATGAAAGGGATAGTGCATTAATTCAATATTTAACACATCTGTTTTGGTACTGTTTATACCGTTTAATTTCCAACTACAGTAATGATTCTTTGTTAATGATGACAATAGTTGAGCTCATGTAGTTCTGTGGCGTTAGCATGTACTACATGCGAAGGTAGGAGGTTGTAAGTCTCCGGATCCATCGTGACTAGTGCGTTTGGTGGTAAATTTTACCATGAGAAGTGAGAGATCGTAAAGCTCTTACCACTTCTTCGAGTAATGCCACGTGGTGGTGAGTCTACACTAGTGGACCTGCAGAGTGTGTGAGTAAGTAAAATATATGCGTGTACCTTACATAGCGGCCTTGATCCTTGAGAGACCATGGTTTGATGTTGGTAGCTATGGTACCTTAAGTTGCGACGCCGTTGCACACGGAGCCTTGGCTTTAGACTCTGCTGAGGAAGTTTCCTTACCCGGTCTTCCTTCTTTCTTAGGACTTCAACTTGAAGCGATAGTTGTCCTCCGCGGCGTCCCTTGTAAGAGAGAACTCTTCCATGACTTCAGTTAAGACAGACCGTCTTCTGCGGCGTCCCCCGTAAGAGCGAGGACTTCTTCCATCCTGGACGACTCACTAGTGAGAGCTTAGGACTTCTGAGTTAGTGAGTGAGTTTGTCTTGTGGTCATCTCCCTTAAATGCATTCCACTGAAAATGGCGTCTACTTAAGAACCCTATTCTTTTTTGTGTATCCGATCGGAGAGCTTACGGCTTCGAAAACTACACGGAGCGCTCCAGTAGTGCCTCTAGCGACAGCGCCTTCAATCAATCTTCTCTTTGCTTTCCCGCCAAGAAGAGCTCCTGATTGGAGCGCCTTTGAAGTGCCTGTAGCGGCAGCATAGCTAGACTTGACAGCAGTGGATGCGAATGTGCACCGTTATATTTTTAATTTTTGGTGTAACGACTATTCCGAGATGCCTAATGAGCTTTGCTTTTCGTGCTGTTTAATGCCTTTTATTTTACAAACTACACAATAATAATGATTCTAAATTGAGAATCGGTGAGATCTTCCAGCTACGTGGCATTAGCATGCACTATACACAGAGGTAGGAGGTCGTAAATATCCGAATCCCTTGACGCAGTCTGCTTGATCGTAAATTATTACACTGATAAGTATGAAGTCGTAAATCTCTGATACTTCTTCGTGTAGTGCCACGTGATGGTAATTGTTGAGGTTTCCTCACTGTTGTTGACCTTTTGCTAGACGCACTCTTATTACAATGGCCTTGTTGATCTTTTGCAACTTCTGTGTTAGATGCTAGTGATACTGACCGCGATTCAGTGACCTTGCCTGATTCTGTGATGCATAGCTTAATTTTGTGCGTCCTGTAGTCGTGTACGTTCTTGCAATGCTATCAACACCCTTGACTGCTTGTTAATTGTTGCGCGCTTGAGAATTGAACGTGTATTAATTATAATAGCTTCACTGTTTTAGCGTTATTGATTGACTAGTTTATAGCTGTAAGCTCTGGCTGAATGGCTTAATTACAATGAGCGCCTACAAGCCTGTTTAATACGTACACGAAGCTGAAGGCGTGTTCGTTCCGTGGCAGCTCTGTTGATAGATAGCGAGGCTCGTCACGTGCTTGCTTCATATATCTATGCGACAGTTTAGTTAGTTGGCAACAAGCCTAAAGATTTAGAACTTTTGCGAACTTCAGGAAAGCAAAGCTTTAGAAGGTTGAAGAATTCCAACCGACGTTGCTATGAGGAAAATATTGTAGGATATTCGAGAATTCTCGAAATCAATGTTTACAAACTGGAGAGTTAGAAACAAAGCTTATACTTCTCCGGAAACTTACTGAAGTTATTGTTTTTATTATTTTATTATTATAGTTTTAATAAAGTTTTATTTACTTTTATCATATATCTTTACATCTGATAGATATTTATAATTCAAATTATTGTATTCTATATTGTAATATTTTATTTACAAATTTAACAACCGTCTTACTTATTTATAAAAGTCTACTTTCATAATCCTATAGTTTTGTTTGAAAGAGTATACTTGTAAATGGCTTGGTTTTATATATTTATATATAACAGGGTTAATAACATTCCATAATAACAATTAATTTCGTAATAATTCAAGTTTACATTAATCTTGCGATCACAATATATAACTACTATGGGCTGAATCAATCGCTGTAACAGTAGATCTTAAAGATTAATTAATAACAATCTAACATCCACAGTTACGTTTAGCTGTGATTGTGTAATATTAAATGCTAACGTAAAAAATTAGATTTAATATATTGGTGCCACTCAAATAAATGATTGCATAGATCTCTATTAATGGATAAAGTATAAATTAATGACTTACTCATTACTTGCGGGAGTAAGCAATTTGTAAAATGATTACATTTTGAAAAAAACGGCCCATGGAAAATAGCAAATGACAATGGATGAAAAGTTTCTTGAATAGTATTTTCTTAATTGTATGTAACATAATATTAACTATTATGATAGAAAAATCATTAAACAAGAAATTGGTAAGTAGCAATACACAGCAAAGCTAAGTATAATTTTGCAAAGGAATATATCTTTTAGTACATTCGTTAAATTAATAATAAAATGTTTAAAAAATTAAAATAAGTCATTAAATGACTACGATAATAGTTTGGGGTCAGATGAAATTTAATAGATAATCAATGTCTATTTCAAAATTCTTGAAAAATTAAATTGTATGAAACATGTTAATGGGTAAGTAGTTTTGAACTTTTAAAAAATAGCTTTGAAAAATGTCAATTTATTCGTTAAATTGAAAAATTTATGAGATTGTCAGGTGTAATTATCAAAATATTTAAAATTCAAATTTAGAATTATTTCATTAAAACGAAAAATTTTATTATATACAAACATCACTTCAATTATTCTATAATAATGAACATTTTACCTCATTATTCATCATTTTATAATAATATAACAATTTTTATTAAATAATAATTTTAATTTCATTTTACATAAAATTGTCTGTTACAGATAAAGGATAGGATACGTCGTCCAATGAATGCTTTTATGATATTTTCAAAGCGACACCGAGCTGTTGTACATCAAAGACATCCTAATCAAGATAATAGAACTGTATCTAAAATTTTAGGTGAATGGTGGTATGCTTTAGGACAGGAAGAAAAACAAAAATATCATGATTTAGCTTCTGAAGTTAAGGAAGCTCATTTCAAAGCCCATCCTGATTGGAAATGGTGCAGTAAAGATAGACGGAAGTCGTCAACAAATAATAAATTGCTCGAGATACGTGGAAAGTTGAATAGTAGTGGAGAAGAACCCGATATGTCAATATCCGATGATGTTCCACTTACTCCACAAATAATCGAAGAATCTATAACTGTGGTAAATAAAATTTCGGACGAAAAAGAAATTAAAGAAGTAAGTTATCAAGTTTATAGATTTATTTAATGAATCATGTTTTATAGTAAAGTAATTTATAGTATATAAATGTTATTTAATACATATATGGCTGTATCATTGTATATACTATAAAAAGAAAATAAAAGTACGCGTTTATTAAATTTTTACGATTAATGTATGAAATAATTTTCGAAGGTAAACATTAAGTGAGGTAAATTATATACTTAAGTTGAAAAATTATAACATTAAATTATTAAGATGAATTTTGCATCTCAAAAATATAATAAAATGTATTCTAAGATCTTTTAAAATATTTTCAGTATTTGGTAATGCGGTATTTAAATGAATAATACAAATTCTGTATTTAAACGGTTTATAGATATATATCGTAAATAAAAAGTAAATTTCTGATTAATAAAAAATGTGCTCTCTGATAAAGACATGAATATTGAATACTTTAGAAATATGCAAAAAGTAAATTTATATCGGTAAAACATAAATATACATTATCAACTCTAATGTATTAAATAAAATAAAAATAATACTATCAAAAATTGGTTTACAAAATATTATAATTTTGTTTTTATTTAAATATAATTTTTTGAGTTCCTTAGGAATCTTTAGTCGATAATTTTATTATTTGTGAAAGTTGTCAAGAAGTCGTAACATAATAACTTGTCGAGGTAGAGTTTTCATAGTTGCATTTCATAGTTGAAGTTTTTCTTCACTTCTTAAATTTAATGATTCTTAATAAATGAATTGATCTTCGAGTGACTCTTAGTTACTTAAATTTACGATCGTTTATGACATCTACTTTCAATTGAGAACCTACAATTATATCTAAAATCTCTTGATGTTATTTCTATCGACATCACATACGACTTATGCAAATAAATGAACTACCGATGATTACTTTTATAATTTTTATATTAATTGCTTTCAATTATAATATCTATGACTTTTATAGTTTTCGCGCATATCGGGAGAGCATGAATTTTTCTATTTCCAAACAACATATGAATCAATTTGTCAAATGCTCAAAAATACAAAACAAGCAAGTTAATAATTACCTGTTTAGATTCTGAAATCATTGTTCAAATTTTTCTGTACTGAGGTTTGAAATTTTTGTTTAAATATTTTTTAAAAGATTGCATTCTTTTTCAATAAACATTATTGCTATGTTAACCACTTTTAATAAGAAGCAAAAACCTATTAAAAAAATTTTAATGCAGTATAGGTAAGGTAATATAGTAATTATGTCATCAGCGTGTTCTTGGAATAGTATTCATATTATGATACTCAATTGAAATGTTATGAAGCTAATATTTTTTACATTTTTTACCTTCAAGGTATTCGTTATATCGTAGATAACGAATTCTAAAAAGATCCGTTTGTTTTCTACGAAAAGTAGATATTTTTGATTTTTCTAAATTTTTTCTTGATTTTAATTTTTTTTAATGTACGTACAATATTTATGTAATGATCTTTAAAAAGTTTTTAAAATCTTGAAAAATCTGCATGATATAAAAATCAATTCAATATTATATCACTGTATTTCAGATTAAACTAAAGTTTATACTACAATCTTTATTTTTAACTGCAACTACTTTTAAATAACTATTTCTTAATAATTTTTTATTTGACATAATTAATTAATTATTAAACTATAGCTAAAAAAATTATTAGAATTAAAATTATAAACTAAAAGTAAATTAAGAAACGATTTATTCTATATTAAGGTTTTTGAGATATTATATAGTTTAAAATATATATTTAATGTTTACATAATAAAAAATAACATTTTAATTTAAATAATTACAGAGCGCGTAAGAAAATTTCTATTTAAAAACTATCTTAAATTTTATTAAAGCATTATCTTGATTATTAACATTATACTATGTTTATAATTTTTTTAACGTGTGTCAAGTAGAAAAAATCTGTTTTTTTATTTTTTAAATTATATTTTTTAATATTTGAATGACATTTACATTTATGTTTTCATATGTACTTGAATTTCAGTTTAAAAGTAAATGGTAATTAAAATTTAATAAAATGTTTTGCAGTTAAGTCAAATGCATTCTAATCGTAGCCAAGAATTTTCAAAAGAAATTGATCAAATTGAATCTGAGTCAAAACAAGATGATGAAACAAATGGTTCCGATGAAGATCAAATGGTTATTTGTGAAGAAATGCCATTATCTGAAATTGATTTAAAATGTAAAGATAAATTGATAGATAGTGATAATGAAGGAAATCATAAAGATCGTTTAAAATGTTTTCATTTTTGCTCTGATCGTATTTGTTTAAAAAATGATGACATCACATGTCGACCAAAACCAATTAAAGGTAATTATGCTATCTACGTAATTATATGACAATATTTATTTATTCAAGAACTGTCTTTAATTTAGTAATATATTTAATTGTACTTTTAATTGAAGTCACCATTTCATCTTCACTATTAGTTATATTTTATCTGTCTATATCACTTAATTTGATTTGAATTAAAAGATTATTATTAGTCTATCTATTTTTCTTTATTTCTTTCACATACGATCAATCTTCAACAGATACTTTTTCAATTAGAGCACTGAATAAATTGTATAGCATTTTTTTCAAATTTCCTTACAATGTATTTTCAGAAATTATTTATAATATAAAATACATCTATATAATAAATTCTTTATTAGCTATTTGTTCAGTTTGTGGTATATATTTTTTATGAAGATTATTATAAAATATTTAATTGATAATAACATAATTTGTTAATATAAAATACGATATTGAGAATTGGTTAATATTCCACGCTTACTTTAGGAAATGCATAGATATTAAAAAATATATATAATTAAATAAAAATATCGTTCAAATTTCCATTCAAATATATTTATATAATTTAAATAAAGTTCAAATTCATTATAAAAATAAAAAATATTTGATCAATGTTACAGCCCGATTATTAACAACTGATGAAGAATCTTCAAAATATTTTCAAAGTTCTATCAGTGAAAGCGGAAATGTACCAGTTCTTTCAACAAATTATCCATATTCCAGTCCAGTAAATCCAACAGGTATATCTGCATTTCAACCAACAGGTGGAGCTTTTATTACTATGCCAATTTCTCCAAAAATTATTAAACCTGAAACAATCAAATATTGTGAAAAACAATTGACACCTAATTATGTACTTAATAATACTAGTTATAATATGGAGAATGAAAGATCTTTATACTCTACATGTACTTCACGTATTACAAAATCAAACTTAGAAAATCAAGAATTACTTCATTATGCTACTCGAAAACACACTACACCAATTGTACAAAATCCACAATTAACGTTAACCGTTCTAGATGATAAATCTCTTACTATTAATAATACTCAACAAAGTCAATCATATCTCTCCACAGTTGTTCGTCCAAAAATTTATTGTGGCGTTCATATTCCTATTACTGGTATGTATTATATTTTTCCTGGTATGAACTTTTAACTAATTATTGTTTGAATTTTCAGATCCGATAAAAAATAGTAATTCTCAATGTATTTCTTCTGATAGAGTAGAAAAAAGTACTGTAATTGTTAGTAAATCATTCAATGTACTTGGTAATGGTCATAATATTGTAAATTATCATACAATTTATCGTTCTCCATGTCAAATAAATAGTTCAGAAAAACGAGATAACGAAGTACCTAATATTACTCCATTTTATGGTAAGTTACTTCTATAATTACTAGTTATAATTAAAATCATTGTTGTATACAAAATATATATGTTATATACATTTATTTAATTAATTAATATATGAAATTATTATAATATTAATTTTTATTTTTACATAATATTTCTAAATAAAAATATTCGTATTGTAATTAAGATGTTACAGTTTATTTATTTTGAAAGTACCATGTAAATATCTGTTAAGTTTTAAATTGCAACATATAATTTAACTGTAGTATTTAAAAGTACGAGTAATTTACTGAAAAAATTTCATCAGTGGTACGACTAGTCTATTATATACATTAAAAAATTGATACCATTTTAGCAAAAAAAAAAAAAAAATATGAAATCAGTGAATTTTCAGATGATCCATGTAATTTTTTATATACCTACACTAAACGATATTGCGATTAATTAGGAATATACCAAAATCAGTTTTCAATACATCATACACACTCACAATCCTGCACCCTACAGATATATGTAAATAAGATAAAATTATGAGATATGTATATGATAAATGATAATATTAAAATAAGAGTGAATTATAAATTATATATATATATATATATATATGTATTCTAATAATATTGCATAAATAGTCACAAAAATGTTTTATGACATATCTTAATATTTAAACTTTGTTTATAAATTTTTTAGTCAAACTAATGATAATTTAAAATTTTAAATGACTAAATTTTTAGAGCTATTTATATAAATTTTGGTACCTTGTTTAAACTTTATAATTATTTTCGAAATAGATAAGTTCATTTAAAAACGATAATAAATGTATTAAATATTTGTCAAGATTAATTAAAATTAAATATAAAAAAATATTTTTCTAAAACATTGTATAAAACAACTCTTTACAATATATAAAAGTTTATTTAATATACTCAATTATAATTAAAATAAGAATTTTTTAACAATTATCAAATATTTTTTATTTCAGAAAAAGTAGGTGACGCCGAAACTATTCGAACTCTAGATAATAAACATAAAATTATGGAAATCACTGATGAATTAAAAAAAGATTTTAAATCAGATAAACATATAAATGTCTTTACTGATAATACGGAAGATTTAAATAATTATAATGAAAAAATAAATAACTGCACATTTATGCTAGCACCTACACCTGCACAATTAGGAAAAGCTCCTTTACAAAAAAGACAATCATTAGGTAAATATAAGATTTAAATCCTATTATTTTAAAACAAAATTTTATATTCGATGTTTTAATATATTATTAGTAAACTATCAATGACCAGCCTTTCACCCTATCGCAGAATATAAATAAAATATAAACTTCCTTGTTGCACTCAAAATATCAATTAAAATATCAAATAAAATCTTATAAAAAATTTTTAAATAATTTAGACATAAATATTGATTTCAAGATTATTCAATATAAATCATATATAATTTACTTTATAGTCAGAATATGAAAATCTATTGTAACTGATGAATATACGATAATATGAAATAATTACATATATATCTTGTGTATTATATTAAGTACATTATATATATAGTAACTACTATGCTTATTATTAATTCTTGATTTTTTTGTAATAAAATAATTCTATTGTGAAAGTATACAGTCAATATATTCGAAAAAATTAATTACATTTATTTCATTTATTATAATCTCATCAAATATTGAATATAGTCTAGTTATATAGATTTATTTATAAAACTTTACAAAAAATTTATATAAAATAGCTAAAATATATCTTAAATTATGTCTTATAATTTGAGAACATTATTGATTTTAATTATTAATAGATTTTCTTGTTATAATTAATTATTTAAAATAATATAATGTAAAAATTCTAAATATTTATTCTTTATAGCAGGGCCTTGTTCATCAATTACAGCAGATAAACATTCGGAAAATTTACCACAGAATCTCGATAATTTATCATGTATAAACTTGACACATATTACAGATTCACACGACAAAATTCTATCTCTAACAGATTCTTTAAATTCGCCTACAAATGTGAATAAAAAGCATTCTTTCTTTAAGAAAACCATAGAGGATGGCATGGATAGGTAATTATATTTATATAATCTAGTTATATTTTATTTAATACTATTATTAAAATTGAAAAATAAAATATGAAAAATCTCTTTTATATATAGTAATTATCTATTTGTAATATTATTAATTATAAATGATGTTACTGAATATTATAATAGTTGAGCAAAATAATGCAGTTGAATCCGTAGCAGTAATGAATGGCAAACAATAGTATTAAAGATAAATTATATATATAAAGTCGTATCGTATTACAAATAGTGTAGAATAGTCAAGTCCAGATTTTTACAACTAGTTGTACTATCGGATAAAATGGCAATTAGGAATACTAATGTCCGTACTAGTATGTTCATACACTGAATTCTTTATGTGAATGCTGATGTTATTACAATGTAGTATTTATATATCTGATACAAGATTCGTTTGGTTTAAAAGATTAAGAATAATATTTTTTGTCATTTTATCATTTTGTATTTATCTATTTAACAGAATATTTTCAAGAATAGTTAGAATACATATCTTTATTTAAAAAAAGACTTTATTATTTATAGATCGTTATATAAATTAAAATAGTAAAATATTTTTGTATATAATTATTAAAAAAAGTAACTGCTGATTTTTTTCTTCCATCAAATTTATAAATTATGTATATTCAAACGAACTTGATTTTTCTTTATTCCTATTGCGATAATATTCTGAAACCAATCTTCAGTCCCGTAGAATATTTATATAATATTCTCGACAAAAAAATTTTGTTAAATCAAAAGTATATTATAATAGGTCTTATAGTCTCTCAAGGATAAAATTTATCAGAATAAGGGTTTTCATTAATAATATTGAATATATTTATATCGATTATTATACAAGAATATTCCTTATTAATATAAAGTTATAAATAATTCATATAAAAACTAGATCAACAACTACATCGAAATCAATCATAATTAAAGATGCTAATATAGAACTAACATTTCATCAGATTGTACATAAATATTAAATGAATATAGTCTCACTTTAAAAAAAATTCAATTGAAGTTTTGAAAAATATTTATTATATTCAACTAGCAATATTAAAAATAAAATAATATTTAATAGTTATTTAATATTTTTAAATATCTCGAAATATTTCGAATTTCTTTTTGAAAATCATGTTACTCATTATATTCATTTAAATTTTACCGTACGTATATAGATTTCAATTATCACCAATTATAACTGAATAACAATTGTCTATATCTATCTCAGTATTTGTATCAAATATTGTACTAAACATATATATTTTTATTAAATCATTTACTAGAGTAAATAGATAAATAGAGTAGTAGTAAAGTAAATAAATATATACAGTAAATAAAATATCAAAGCCTTTCAAAGCTCCGTCTGCATTAATCATTAAAATCAACATAATTATCGTTGATAGATGACAATCAAACCTAAATTGATATATAGATGAAATTATAAAATCAGGAATGGTAATAATATGCTAATTTGAAAAGTGAATGTACGTAAGTTAATTATATAATAAGTCCCATGTTTCCTTATATTGAAAAAAAATGTTCAATGTCCCATTCAGACATAGCATTATTATTACTTTGTAAAACATACTTTTCTTTATATATATATATCTAATAAGAAATATAATAAGGAATATAAGACAAGATAATTTAATAAATGCATAATTGGATTAAAGATTTGACATTTAATAATAATTAGATAATTATTTAAAATGATTATTAGAAGTAATCATACCAGTTTCTTGGTTTAATTGTTATCTTTCATTGAATATTTGACCAAATAATTTTATTTTATCTTTTAAATAAATTATTACATTTTCCTTATAAAAAAAATATTAAATCGTAGATATTGATAATGGATTGTTTAAATTAATGAAATATAAATAAAATAAATAACGTAAAAACAAATATTTTTTAAAGTTTCGTAATTATTTTCATATATTATAAAATTTTAATATATTTGTCCACATTTTCATTCGATACAGAGTTTTGATATATATTTCTCTTTGTTGTGTCTTGAAAAATAATTCATTATAAACATTTTTCAATAATATTTCACATAAAAATATAATATAAAATCAATCAAATAATCAAAATCAATTATTAAATATAAATAAATTTCAGAGTTCTTGAACAAGTAAATTTTCGAGAAAAATTTTCATCTTTACCTGAATTCAAGCCAGAAGATATACATAGTCCAAGTGCAATCAGTTTAAATACACCAACTACAACTAGCAATTCGGTTAATTTTCAGAATTATCGAAAAAAAACGTTACCAGCACCTCTTCGATTAATAGGTAATTATTTTCATTTTTGTATTTAAAATTATTGTTACATTTCTTATTTTATATTTACTTATATTTACATAATATGTACACATTGTTTCTCAAACAATTTATACAATACATTTTATTACCTTATGTTCGGAAAATATGCAGTATTCTTATTCCATGAATACAAATATTCTAAAAATATATTTGTCATAGTCCTTTGATTAAGTTTGATTGTTTATTTATTTATATATTTCAGTATTAAAATAATTATGAATAAATAGTAATTGATAATCATACTATTATAATTAAGAATTAACAATTATTTCAAAATAATATATATATATATATATATTATGTATGAATTATATCAAAGTTTTCTTAACTAAAATAACTTTTATAAATTTTTAAACAAAATTTTATTTACTATTGTTATTAAATTTAAAATTAGTTACTTCAAATTTCTTAGTTTTTTATGTTTTATGACTGATAAATTTTCTTACAACTCATAATTTCAACCTTAATATAATTTTGTGATTGTAAAAACAAATATTTTAATTATTTAATTGCTCTTATTGCTGTTTTTTAAATATTTCAATGTAATCTTATTTTATAATCAACATTTTTCGTCATACAAACAAGATTTTTTTAACCATCTTAAATTACACGAGAAAAAATGTTTTGTTTGTTAATTATTCGATGTAATAGTAAATAACAATATTAGACAGTGTATGTGATAGATTGATCAGTTAGAATACATATTCATTCAAACTTGATTATATCATGAATCTTTAAGAGACTTATGACAATAATGTATTTTTTTATTATGATTATTGGTTTATAAGCTTTATTACTAGGTATTTTCTAAATATTTTTCATATTAAAAAATTTTAATCCAAAGTTTTCAGGTAAATTTTATTCTATTTTTTGTATACCACTTTTAAAAAATTTACGGTTCGCTATATTCTGAGAATAATTTTAAATAGCTATTATGTATATATATATATATATATGTTAGTTGAATTTATCATTATATTTTAATAAACTATAATTTTTAATTTGTTTTGAAAAAAAAAATATACTTTTTAATAAATTCTTCAAGAGTTTTTAATATAAAATTAATACTATTTACTAATTAATACATTGTTTTTTTTTATAGTTCCAAAGGAAGATTCAGATAGTTCGATATCTATTACACCTAATACAAATACAAGTATTAAACTTACTGGCAACACTTTTTTTGGGCCAGATTTTAATATTGAAGAATATCAATCAAATTCCGAATTAAATGACAATGACAACAACTCACCACATACTCCAAAAACACCTAGTAGTGCTGTAACTAATATTGGAAGAGAAGCAGAACGTGGACATAGAAAAGTACTTGAGCAACGGAGACAACTTGTTATGCAGCTTTTTCAAGAACATGGATATTTTCCATCAACACAAGCCACATCAGCTTTTCAAAACAGACATTCTGATGTTTTTCCAAATAAAACAAGCTTACAACTTAAAATTCGTGAAGTTCGTCAAAAACTAAAAGCTAATTATACACCTATAAGTGCTAATAATATGATTAATCTGCAGACTCAGTGTGAAGGGACTACAAATAATAGTATGTATTCGTTATTTACTCATTTATGACAAAGATAAAATAGATAATCGGAATATATAAACCACGAAATTATTAATAAATAAATCATTTTAATATGTGTTTTCGAATATTTTATAATAAAATTGTGAGATTATTAAATAACAATTAAATAAAGAAAAAAAGATATAATTAAAGAAATGATTTTCATCGACATTATATAATTGCTTTAAATCGCTCGAATATGAAATTATGAGCAAAAATTTTATAACATTCCTCTAATATTTTAAATAATCATCATATATAATGTTATATGATCAATTTTATTAATGCTATCTTCTTGTAGTTTCTGTGGAACTATTCTATATACAAAAAATATTGAAAAGTAATATAGTCTGACTTTACATTAGCAAAAAGCAAATAATTATGAAAAGTGAATAAAATGCTATTAATGTTGCAATATAATTACATTTTAAAGCTTTTGATAAATATTATGTCAAGCATATGTCAATAACGTTAATAATATTATGGAAAGCTTCTTCTACCTTCTTCAGAGAACTTATATCTATTTCTGTGTTCCGATATATAGTATGCATTTCAACACATGCATTTCTTACTCTAAATTTTTTAATTTCGTAAAATATACCGAATAAAGTTTAAATATTATGAAATATATAAATTATTATTTATATAAATTAATGGATAGATGTCACGAGTTTGTTCGTTCATATTATATCTTTCGATTCAAATCGCCTGTAGTCAGGCAAGAATTTTTATTACAAATAGGATTTTTAATTAATCATGAAGTGACATAATTGTTTATAATTGTTCAATATGTCTTTATTTAAACAAAAAAAATTTTTATATTGTATATATAAATATTAAGAACCAGTAAAATTATTTAATTTTTTAATTTTTAACCTCATATGCAATTACTATGCACTCATTAGTGTACAAAATGCACCTCGTCGTTCGGACTTGTTTTATCAAGGCCGGTTCGACGGATACAATTTGATGCCGTTGACAACTCAGAGACCACGGGTGTTGTGTGGTAGCGATGACAGGTCACGAGTGGAATGGATATTATAATAATACAATAAAGATATAACTGAAGTATATGCTTTTTATTCTGTTATTTATTAATGACAAGGTTGACTAGTATTACTATTATTACTTGTAGAACTAAATTCTTAATTGAAGTGACGTGTTGCGGAGACAACTGTACAATAATCTATGTAGCTTGATTATTGAATATGAATGGCGAATGGCGCCTGCTTTCGTTCATCGACACTAGCGCCTTTTGAACGAGCATGTGTATGGTTGAGGTTATGGATGCGGCTTTATTATTGAAAGATATCGCAAGTGGCGTGATATAATTATTGTAATAGATACTACTTACAAAGACTAATCGTTGACTCGTCTTCAGACTCTGATAGGCGGATTGTCGTGGCTCCCTTGGAACAGGTAACTACAGTTTCTTGAACTGCGTTAGTGGACATACGGGTTTATATCGTGGTTCTTTCGGAGCAGTAACTACTGTTCCAGTAACAGTGTTAATGGACAATCCGAAGAAGTGTAAGTCGTTCCCCGAAATAGCGCTAAATGGACTTTCACTAAAACTTAACTGAGTATGAAATGTCTCAAGGGTTTAATATTGAGAGAGTATTACTAAAAGAGTGATATCAAAAATACTAATAAGCAATAGATATCAAGAAACTGAGAGACACTTCGAAAAGAGTAATATCACGAAAATACTACTAACTGAAAACTATCAAAAGTAAATATCAAGACAGTTAAATATCACGAGTGATAAGGATTAAGAGAGTTAAGTATCGAGAGTAAATGAGTATTGAAAATGACGCCCCTTAAATACATTTGCTGACCATGAATTTTACTTGAACCCCTTCCCTTATTCTCTGTCCAATTTGAGAGTCCTCCCTTATAGTGCGCCTCTTTTGGCTTCGGAGTTAATTAAGGGCCTAGTCGTCTCTGGGTCTTCATGATGAGCAGATCTCTCATTGCTGCTGCCGCATGCGACAGCATGTCGGCAGCGGCAAGGGGGGGTTTGCTGACACATCTGGTGACAGCATTGCAACTTGTCGACAGCTGGAAGGGGAAAGAAGGTCCGCTTGCAGTAATGCTTGATGTAGTTGGCGAGCGGAACGAAAATGCAGATGTCAAAACTATAGGTTTTCCCGTGTTTATGGTATTGTTTTTCCAGATGTTTTATGACACTAATGCGTGAGAATTTTGAGCAAGCGAAGTTTAAAATCCAAATACAAATTTTACGATGTTACTTGCCAGATGTTTTATTGCACTGACAAAAAAAGGAAAAATGTTCTCGCATTCTCCAACAATTGGAAAAAAGCATGTTTGCAGAATAACACAGGGCAATATGATTAATAATTTCCTGAAAAAACGATATAAAATACAATTAGTAATTTTGTATTATTTAAATCATATTAAATGATATCGTATGAGCACTACTTTTCATTTTTTTACTTCTAACACCTGATCTGAGAACAAATTTATCCATGAGGCTGAGTGAATTAAAATTGAAAAATGTATTTCGATAAATTTTAATCTTAGCTTTTTAAAAGATGAAGTAAAAGTAAAGGATACAATCCCAGTAACACTGATAAACTGCAGCTTTTCTATCATATACGTTAATTTAATGGTACACAAACGCATCCACTGTTGTCAAGTCTAGCTATACTGTCGCTTGGATAAGCCAAGCGACAGGACTTCAGTTAGGGGTCCTCTTGGCGGGAAAACCACGAGGAGACTACTCTCTCTGATTGAAGGCGTAGGGAGACGAGATGCGCTCCAAGTAGAGATGCCAAGGAAAAAAGCGCTCTGATTGGAGACGCTAAGATAGGCGCGTTCCTAAGTTGTAACACCGGAACGCTCTTAAGGGGACGACCAAAAGTCAGAAGTGCTCTCTTACAAGGAACGTCGCGGAAGACAAACTTACTCACTCAAGCTAATATCCTTAAGGAAGAAGGTAGAAAGAAGTTCCCTCAGTAGAGTCGGAAGCCTAAGATTAAAGTGCCTTAGTGATCATTCTCTGGATAGAGTTTTTCACGAATTCAGTGCCGACGCATACTGTCTTATACTAGATGTAATAGTCACCTATTCTTTACCGGAGTTTCTTAAGGATCCAGTATCAACGATTACACTTCCAAAGATCAGAGCCGCTACGGAAGGTACATGCAAAACTTTATACTAAATAGAGACATACTCGTGCCCAAGCGCACAAAGCAGTCGTAGGCCACCCAGCGCACACTACGGAAGAGCCACTATAGAAGAAGAGGGTACACGTAACAGTTTTATACTAAATAGAATTTATACACTAGTGCCCCAAAACATGAAGCTGTTGCAAGACTTAAAGGATCTAGTACCAAAGCGCACTTCTTATACTAGGGGCCATAGTCATCCTATTAATCATCAGAGTTGACTTCAAGGATGCATGCTAATGCCACGTGGAAACCGCCACGGAACTATAAGAGCTCAACTATTGTCATCATTAACAAAGAATCATTATAGTGTAGTTTGTAAAGTACAACCCAATAAACAGCACGAAAAGCAGATATGTTAAATATTGAAATAATGCGCTACCCCTTCCTCTTATCTACACTTTTTCTCCAACCAGGCAACTGATGGTTTTAGTCTAATTCTAAACACTTTAAATATAACTTGTTCGAACTTATAGTGTTCTTCGTTCTTGATTCAAATTTATAGTTCAAATAAAAATGGATTTTATAAATAATTAAAGTCTCTTAAAGTAAATTTGAAAAACAAAATTTTTAATTTTTTAAAATATTTTCTAGTTATAGCTATAGCGGATTACAAGCGTATATTTAAACATAGCCGAATAATCATATTGCTGTAGTACGAGCAATTATCATCATATGTACTTTTTTTTAATAATAACGAGACTTTAGTAATATTTGTGGGTTACCAACAGTTGTAGACAAAGAAAATGATATAATTTTGGGTATAATAAAGACAGTGAGTAAAAGTATAAACAATTGAGAACTTTGGTTTCTACAGAAATGTTTCGATGTTTATGATATATATATATATATATATATATATATATATATATATATGGACATCTCATGGCCCATATGAAATGTTTTACATTAGCGAATTTTGGAAATTCAAATAACGTTTTACTTAAGCTATTTCGTAGGTACCACGAAACATCGTAGAGTACATAGAGAAAAGAAAAAGAGCAATGGAGATCTACAATATACACGAATAATTTATAAAAAATGTTAAGGTTCCAGTTAATCATCAAAACATTTACACCATTTAAATTTGGAAATAACATGGAAATAATTTTTATGAAAATATAGACTTTAAAAAATAGAGCATATTGTAAAAATGTTAAAATTGATTCTCAATTGTATTAAAAGATAATACATTAGTATATTGCTTTTTGTGTAATTAATATTTCCTTAAAAGATGCTGAAAACAAATGAAAAAGTTTTAAATAAAAATAAATACCTATACGTTTAAATATTGTATTGATTAAGTAAGTTAATTTTAAAAATTAAATAATTACTTAAGATTACAGATTATGATTATTGAATATCTATTGCTAATTTTAGAACTTGTATATTTCATTAAATGAATGTATCAAATATAATTATTAACAAATAATAATGTATATGTTTTAAAATTTGTGTTGAAAGACAGTAAAAAAAAGATTAACTATTAAATTAGCCAAAAAAAAAGATTCGCCATTAAATAAAATTATTTTTATTAAACTAATAAATAGGATAGTGCTTGATTATTAATAACATATTATAGTATTTGTTACTAACTCTTCATTAACAATTACATTCCTATAAATCAATAAATAATTAGAAAACGCATTGAAATTACATAGTGTAATTAAAAAATTGTAACTATATATTGAATATAATATATTAAAGTTATTAAGAATAGTGCCATTTAAATATTCATACCCGTCTTTATTTTTTTAAATAAAATGCTATTACTATAACTAATCTATTCTAATGATTCTTAAATTAAAATGTAATATTTATAACTAAATTCATGTATTTCTAATTTCAATTTGGATAATAAGTTTCTGTAAATAATAATAAATTATTTTTATTAAGACTTGCAACTTAATAATAACATTGATATAGAATGTAAATACTGATTATATTCTTAATCATTTTGTATAATAATATTTTTGTTCCAGATAATTCACCTAATATTTCAACTTGCATAGGTGTCCCATTTTCACTACCTGTTAGCAGTAGTGGCAGCTAACATTCAGAAATTGACTGTGATATTCCTGTAACGAAAACGCGTGCTAGACAGTATGAGTGTGTTGTCATACTATGAAACTTGACATCTGTATTTTTCTCTTTATATTTTATAAAGTGATTACATTTACATATATGATTATTCATTAAGAATTATTTTAGAAAAAAAATTATATGATTTGTTAATTATGTATTTGAAACTTTTGTAATCTTTAATGAATTTTATGATTTAGTAATTTGAATTTTTGTCGCATTTATACGCGTGCGTGCACGTACATATATAACATATATTTAAGGACGCATGATCGTAATATTTGATCAAAGATTAAGAAGTGCAAAATGATAAACAGCTAAACTATTTTTAAAAAATGATTTAAATAAATTAGCATATTTTGTACATTTTCAACTCTAAAATTATGTTACAAATTATTTCGTTATTTTATATAATATTTTAATAACGTAATTCTTTTTTATAAATTTCATTTTGTTTTTTGAATTTTATATATTTTTTAATTTGTTCTAAAGAAAAAATTTGTTTTCTTTGCTTGACCTTAATTTTAACAATTTCAATTACTTTTTTATGAGTATAATTGTTAATCTTCCTATAAAATATAAAAAATTAAGGTAAAATTTGAAATTCATCAGAGTTTTATTATTTTTTAATATGCAGAAATTAATTTTATTTCGTATTAAAAATTTCTTTGCATAAACTATTAAATATTTATGATCTACTGCAAAAAAATTTTTAAATTAATACGTATGAAACGTGATATACATGTTAAATTAAAAAAATATTCTCATCAAGTATTAAAAACATATGTATATATACACATACTCGTTTTTAAAAATTAATAATTAATTTTATGATATATATATATATATATATATATATATATATATTTACGTACAATAAATTGATGACTTAGATCTGGGAAATAAAAGTATCGTGGGTTTAAATTTATTGTCTGTTAAATTAAAATAACTAATAGTATGTATGCGTTTATGCCCAAATGCACGTTTTATGTATATGTGCACTTAAGTGTGTGCATATCCAGAGATGTTTAACAATGATAGAAATACATATTAAATAGGTGAAAATTGTAAAAAGTAAAATTCAGTTTTATTATCTATGGCACATAATAAATAAAATACTGTGTATCTTTTTTGTGCAAGATAAAAAATGAGTCGTGTAAAATATAAATAAAACATTGAGTGAATTTTTATTAAAAATATAAATTGTATGCTTTATCAATTTTCACTTCCTTAACTAAATTTAATATCTATAATTTTAATTTATTGCTTCAAACAATAAATTGGGTATACTTAAATTTTGTGTAATAGATTTATTTTATTTCAACTGTACTTAAATCTGGTACTATATCAAAAAATTATACATAATATTCTGTATAAAATATATGTAAACAAATTTTTTTTAAAAGAGGACAATTGTTAAATAAAAAAGTTATTACTAATAATTGATAAGTGCTATTGTTTATTTGTTAGTTATGTAAACTACAATTTTATAATAATTCTGACGATTTTTCCTTTGCTGTATTCAATAAATTATCTCTTTATTATCGAAATTATTTCTTTTACCTATTTTTCTAATGGTAAATATATAAATTATAAACTTAAAATTTTTTATTCATTTATAACGTCATCAAATATTTATTTAAGGTTTACAAAATATATTATTTTTATATTGTATCAGTACTTCAAATTACCGAGATTTTAATAACATATACAGAATAAATTTTAATTGAATAGTATTTGCATTTAAGAATCTAATTTATTTAAAATTGTTTAAATTATATTTATATATTTGTATATCTTATGAGACAATTTTCTACAATAATTTAATATTCAATTTAATACAACAATATTAATCGGCAAGTTGGAACTTTAGTCGACTTTAGTTGAAAAAAAACCTTTCACTTAAAGAGTTGATTAAAAATATTTGTAATAGTAGAATATTATAAAAGTTATAATGAACAGACAGTTTTAAGAATGAATTTTTATCGAATAAAAAAGCATATACAATTGAAAAAGATTAATTTTACCGTGAAAAGAAGCTCAAATTTTCGAGTAAAACATAACTGTTCATTAACTACATTTTACGAAATATAAATAAGTTTCTATTAAATAAAGAGATATCCAATTTCAATACCACTATAAGTAAATAACGAATGTTCATTTAAACCTTTATATGAAATTATAAATAAAAATAAGTGTCTGGGATCAGACTAAAAGCCTCCTTGAGATGGTGAATGGAGGCTTGCTGGCAAGAGGAGGGGACAATGCAATAATTCAACACTGCCTTTGGATGTAGTGTCTTTCCCTTTATTGAATAAAATAAATATAATTAATTGTCAGTGGTCTATGGATATCGAATTGAATGTATAATACAGTGAATAGATGAGAGTTTTTTCAATTAATATGAGCGACAAGAATCCTGTAAGTGTATTCTTGGTAGCTTGGTGCCTGATTCTCCTACTCGTAGTTATGAACTCGCAGTGGTAGTGGGAGATTCACGCAGATAAGGGGCAGCGATGGTGCCGCCTTTGCCGTTGCCGAGAAGAGCTGTAGCGGCCTGTGTGACGTCGCTGGTGCGGGGTAGTGAAGATGCCGTTGCCGCTAGCGAGATGCACGCTGTAGTGGTCTAGTGGGAGGGAGGAAATCCGTGTCACGTAACTGCTTGACGTGTCGGAGTATTCCTCGTACCGTATACCACTTATTAGTATTGCTGCTTACCTGATTGATAGGAGCCGTGTATTAGTGATCCGTAAGAACGTGTGTAATAGCGTAGTTTACGGTGTGGAGTCGATCTCAGTTGCATCGATGGTACGTAAGAACGTGTGTAATAGCGTGGCTTACGTGTGTTGAGGTCGATCCATGTAGTAGCGTTGGTAGGCCGTGAACTTGGCTTCCGTTGACTGTAGTCGATTTCTGCAGCGTTGGTGAGCCTAGCGAGTTTGGTTTCCGTTGGGCTGGAGTCGTTCTGTGCAGTGTTGGGTGGCCGAGACTAGCTTAACTTATGTTGAGCTGGGTTCGATCTGTAGGACGGCAATCCGATCTTGATGAATGCTTGATTGAACTAGTAAGAGGGCGAGAGCGTCAAGCGCGGCTCCTTCAATATTCTCGAACCAACTCGATGCGCCGACAGCGCATCGGTGGCAGTTACTATGCCGTTATTCTTTGTGACGTCAATAGGGCATAGCTTTGTAGGGTTCACGCGTTAATACTTCTCGGAATTATGGTCGTACATTCGACTATTCTGCGTAGTGAGGCCTTTCGAGTTCTCAGAATTGTTTATGACTCGGCGCAAGTTTTTCTAACTAAACATAGGCGACTTTACCTCTCCCACTTGTTTACTGCATAAAATTGCTGAAATCCGTAACAATAAGGCTCGATTATTTTATACAATTCTTTATTATTTATTCATTTTAATTTGACCTTTAGTTATTTAAATTTTATTGAATATTGTTCGGAATCCAGTCACCCGGTGGTCGAAGGACCAAGATGGTTGGATTTAACCATGTCCACCATTTTACTGGTGGAACAATATGAATAAGTCAGAGTTTAATGCTTCAATTCAGTAATTACCACATTTGATTTACGTGCTATTTATTGAGTTTTAATTTACAAATACACAATTATGATTCTACGTTGATGGTGAGAATCGTTGAGATTTTGCCTTTTCTTAGTGATTTTACACGTGGTGGTAGCATGCACTGAAAGTCGAGGATAGAGGTTGTAAATCTCCGGATCCTTATGGAGTAGTACGCTTGGTGGAAATTACTACACTGAGAAGTGACAGGTCCTCTTGATGTATAAAATATAAAAATGGTTTAATACCTCAATGATCTTGGTAGTGCGCGATATGGCACTTATTGAGATTTAGCGTGCAGTAGCATCTAGTTATTCAATTTATGCATTTCATGCAATATAATATACACTTATATAAATATTTACATAATTGTTATAATAATATAAAAATATAGCTATAAAAATAATTTTAATTTGTAGAATTAAAAAAATTGACAAATAAAGTGTTAAACATTTTTGTAATTTACATATTAACTTATTTAAGTTTAAAAAACTAAAGAAGCTAATAATATTTATAATTACTCAAATCAAAAGAGTTAAAAAAAATTATAAAAACTTAAATGAAAATTAGTACAATATATGTTAAGCTGGCGATGAAGTATGCATCCATTCAGTGCAATAATTAATTATGCATTTTCAATACAATTATTTATACATATATGTCTGCAAAATCCATTATATTTTTGTCTGCAAATATCCGATGACTTTACAAAACCACTGGGATTGAACCTTTAATGCGCATGCGAAAGTCGTGATTATATATATATGCAAATATAAAAAACAAAAAACGATTAAAAAAATGTATTATTTTAATTGACGCAAATATATTGAAATTAATGTAACTATTTATAATATTTTTTTTTAAATCCTATTAGAAAATCTTTTATAATATCTGATTTACGTAGGTTCTTGAATAAATAATTCTTTATTAAATCTATAAAATAATACATTTAATATTTATTTTTCTATTAAAAAAATGCAATTATCACAGAAGTATTATCAATGAATTATTTTGCATTAAATATTTTGTTTTTATTGGAAAATTTTTTTTATTTTTAAATATTTTGACACATTGAATTGGATTAGCATAATCTAGCACTAATATCCTTGAGAAGATAGCAATAGTAAATATTGCATTTTATGGACATCAAAAGTATATAATTGTAAATTTAAAATTACTTTTTTAATTGATAGTAATACTTATAGTTAATTAGTAGTTTATGTTAATACGCAATTGGTTAAGGTTCAAAAAAATATATTTTCGAATAAAATTGGTAAATATAGATAATTAAATTATAATATAAGGCTTAGTGTATTAAAAAAATCTGTTACTTAATGATTAAAATTATTTAATTAAATTATTTTTGATAGATTTTATATTTTTAGAAAAATTTTATTCATTTGCAGCTAATAATTTGAATCTAAAATAATTTTTTATCTAATTTAAGGTTATGTAAGTTGTAATATGTTATAAAATGAAATTTCTAAAAACAAAAAATCTGATTATAACGAAATGATGTAATAATATGTATATTCAATTTTTTTTCATTGCATAAATTCATTTCTATTAATACACGTATATTAATTTATTTCATCTTACTAATGTATACATTGAATAAAATTCATTTTTTAATATAAATTTTGGTTAATAGAATAATTATTTTAATTCATAAAATTTTTTATATATAAATATTTAATGTTTGCATATAAGAAAACTTTTTAAATCAAGTCATTATTCGATTAGATGATTTTATCAATTTGATTTATTTCGTACATTAAAATGTGTACTATTAAAATTAAATTTAAAGTGTATTTAAAACTAAAACATTAATCATATTTATACATAATTATAATAAGCATACAAAAAAAATTATATAAATTTCAAGTATGGTCGCATGCATATTCACATGCATATTTAATTTAAATTTAAATTGTTTAAAATTAATAACAGATTATAAAAATTATAATTTACATAAAACTTTCCTTTGAAATGGTTTTTTGAATTTTTATAATAATTTGTAACTATATACTTTTATATAAATTAAAAAAAATTAAAATTAAGTATTACGTATTTTCTCAAGTATTTATTAAATTATATTAATTTATTTGTTTATTTATTCTTTATTTAGTTCGCTTATTTATAAATTTTGGTATAGTTTATATTTATATTTATTATATCAACTATATAATTGTTAATAAAATTCTATTTGAATATTATATTTTACTTTTGACAATTCATGAAAAAATTTAATTTTTTTATAAAGCAAATTTTGTAAACAATAAAAACTAATTACTCAAAAAAAAGTTTAATAACATGAACGTCTACCAATTTATTATAGCTTTCACTACTTATTATACTTAATATAAAAATCAATTGTATAATTTAATTAAAAAGTAAAGTAGTTACATTAGGAATTGAATTTTTTTAATTTAAAAATAAAATATTTATTAAAATGGAAATTGATGATGCCTTTTTAAGTATTGAAAAAACTATAATTTTAAAATAGTATAATAGATGTTTATTGTAATTTATAATAAATTATTGTTATATTATAATAGTTTTATAATTCACTTATTGAAAGAAAAACATATAAAACAGGTATCATTTTTAAAGTTGATATAATACAATGAATTTTATTTAATCAACTTGATAAAAAAATTAATTAACATCAATAAATTATATGATTATAGATTAAACAGAAAGTTATTGTAAATTTCATTGAAAATATTATTTAGAAAGTACCAATTTGTTAGAGTAGATAAGCTACTAAAGAATTGTACTAAAGATAGTAAGAAATTAAAAAACAAAATTATTTATCACGAAGTCTACAACCTTCACTTCAAAGAATATTATTTTAAATTAAATAAATTTTTATTACACACTGTTTAGTTATCAAAATTAATTTTTTTAGTCATTCAGTATCTTTTATATTGAGTTTAAATTGTTTCAATTGAGTTATACAAATGAAATAATTCTAAGAATTAAAACATAATTAGTCATACAATTGCTGTATTGCTATATTCAATAGTTTTGCTTGAAGATTCATTTTTATTTACAAAGATTATTAAATGTTTATCAAATATTATTAAAACTTTGATAAAGGGTACATTTTATTTTTTGAATACTACTAAATTATCTGTAAATAATGCATCAGCTGACAAAGTAATCAACGATTATAATAGTCTTTTGTAAATAAAGTTAATAATTTTGTAACAGGAAATATTAATAGTTTCTTGATTTTATGCCTAGGTGTAGTTTTGATGATGCATAAATATAAAACAAATTATACTGAAGAAAAGTAATTTTTATGATTTAATATTAGTTGTTTACAATTCTAGACTTTTTAAAAAAGTTTTAAATATATTATATTGTATGAAGTAACAAATGATTTACTTAAAAGCATATTTAATAGTTTATGTGAAATGAAAAAAATAATTAAATTTATATTTAAATTAGGCTTTTTTTTTTAATGTAAAAATTTCCATTCGCTCTTATTTATATTAAATAAATTATTCCATTTCTTATTGTTAATTTTCTAAAAAGATTTTCTTTGAATAATTATTTATTTCATTGATGTATTAGTTTTTGAGTGTACATTTTACTGGAGAATAGCTTTTTATTATGTAAGATAAGAATTTTATTAGAATTTTATAATTAATTTTATTTTAATGATGAGGATGAAGTATGCATAAGAAAGTGGACGTTTTAATGACATTTCAATTCAACCAGCTAATAATAAAAAACGTTACACCAGTATAAGCATTAGTACCCATTGTTATTATTTTTATGATAACAAAAGTTATTACTAAAATTAAGCACCATACAACTATAAAAGAGAACAATGACTGAGATATTATTCCAATTATTGTAAAAGTTTAAATTTAAATAACGAGATTTATGCAAGATCTTGTAATGTATGATGTAGAATTTCTATAATTTGTTTGATAGTCGATATCGTTATTCTAAGAAATGCAAAGATGATGAAATTTGATTGTACAATAATCTAGATAAATATTTATTTGGCTTATACCAAGACATAATGAAAAATAAAAAATCCGATAAATCAAATTGATTTTAGTTTTATTCTAATGACTAAAGGTGAAGACAAAAAGAGCTTGGATATCTTGATAATAGAATTTCAAGTATGAAGAAAGACATATTGGTTAGGAGTAATTACTATCGATATTACTTAAGAAATCATGGTTTGCGCTTTGTTGCAACTTGTTGAACTTGTACAATTAGGGCAGGTAATTAGTATCCAACTGATGTCATTCTTTCGACTATGAATCCAATAATTATGCTGGCATTACTCAATGTGATTACTACGTGGATATAAAAAGTACCCGTGTATGATTTGTACATTTCGAACTCTCACAATTTTAGTTTATATTAACTTAATTACAATTAACCTAGTTTTTATTATATTATTTGTATTTACTTTTATGCGAAAGAATAATTCGTGTTATTATTTATGGTTGGTAGAATATTACTATTTATAAGAATCAAATAAACCATGTTTTTTATCATATTCTAAATTATTCTCAACAAAATTCTGATTTTTTACTTTAAATAACGAATTTGAAATACAGATCTTTGTTTAAATTCATAAATTGGAAAAATGTTTTTATTAATATTTAGTGATAAATTCTTCTAGTCTACGATAAAAATTAATATTAAAATTTATATATTATTAAAATCATAAGCGATTCACTCATTAATCCTATAAATCAGAATATTATATTATTTTTTAATTTTTTTATACAAGAAATATGTAAAAATAAGCTTTAATTTTTTATGTATTTAAAATAATCGTATTTTAATAATTTTATTTATATTTATAGTTCAGATATTAACCATGATCTACAAAAGTTTAGTATCGTCAATAATTAAATGTTTAACTCAGTTACTGGATCAAGATGATTTAACTGCTAGTTCCCGTGAGAGTTTAGAAGTGTCGATACAATGTTTAGAAAGTGCATATGATGTTCAAGCTTCGGATGCGGCATCAAATTTTGATATATTACAAATTTTTAAAACAACACAGTTCAAATCAATAGAAGTTACATCAGAAACTAACGCTGAATCAAAAATTGAAGCTGAAATGCATAAAAATAAAGGCAACCAATTAATGGAAATAGAAAAATACCATGAAGCTCTTACAAATTATACAAAGTATGAGATTTATTTTTCTTTTTTAACAATATCAGTCAACTTATTTCAGCCTTTTGAAATATTATGCACGATTTTTATGAAATAAATATAGTCTTAAGCAGTCATTTATTAAGAACTGATAATTTTTAATATACCTTCAAAACATTTAAAAAAATTTATTTATTTAAAAATAGAAAGATAATGAGAATAAATAATAGTTTTCGTATAAATGGATTCTCATTTAGTTTTTCATTGTCGCTATTTGTTATTACTAAATAAATAAATAAATTTTGTGAGAAATTATAAAATTCAATAAATTTTACGATATTGATTAGTATATATAAAATTAGTCTGATATATATATATATATATATATATATATATATATATATATTTATATATATATAACTGCCTTATACTGTAGCTTACTATAAACTATAAAAGTTGATGATAAAATACCTTTTGAAAATCCAAAATAAGTTAATGAACAATTAAAAATTTAATTAAAATAAATTGTATCATAAATTATTAATATTAAATAATGTTTGCGTCAAAATTAAATTTTTGAAGTTCAAAATTATTATTTAATACATCTTAATAATGTTATAATTAATGGAAATTCAATCATTTTCTTTTTGAAATATAATTAACGAGTTAAAATTACATATGTTATGATGAGGATTACTTAGTATGAAGCAAGAAAAAATGCATGAATATAAATAGTACGAATCATAGTTTCGAAAAAAAACTATTAAAAATTAAGAAACTAAAGCGGATAAAAGTTAGATTAAAAGTAAAATAAGAAAGAGCATTATAACGATAGATCTACGGAAGCAAAAATATTACCTAATAGTAAAAGTAAATAAAAAAGACAGAAGAAAAAAGTAATAAAGTAAAAATAAAATATCTTATCGTCTTTGACAAATTTAACTTCTATTCCAAAACTTTTAATTTATATTTTTAAATTGCTTAACTAATTTAAATTACTTTTTGCTATAATTTGGATAACAATATAAATCATATTCCTCTTCAACGATTTCTTTTGCTGGACCTTAAATATGAGGTTGCGCTTTTCGCGCGTTGAACTAATATTTGCCTTTCTATTTGCATTTAGTTTATAGCTAGTTTTTGTAATGGATAGAATTTAAAATCACCAATTACTTTTTGTAGCAGTAGTGATTTTTATTCTTTATACTATAACTATAGTTCTTTACTTTAATTGTATTAAAACGTTTTATTCGATCACTTACATTTTTGGCTAGTTATTGCATGATGCAGTATAACTCTTATTTTACGTTTGCCCATATATTTATTTCATTGTTTATGTGATTTCATTTTTGAAACCGGCTAGTGGTAGTATTGAAGCTTCAGAAAATATTTACTTTTGTAAGCTTTTTTAGATTTTTATATTTTTGCTTTTACGATTTGTCTTGTACAACTACTGCGTATGCTAACGCTCCATGTTCCACTCTTAGTTTCGTCAATGGATTAGCGAATTCTTTTTTTGTTCCAAATGTATTAGTTTATTCATACTTGTCATAATTAAGTATCGCTACTTTGGGGAATTTCAATTTCGAGGTTGAACTTATTATGTCTCTGTATTTGTATGTTATTTGGCTTCGTTAATTATCTTTTTCTGATGTTTTATATTCTATTATCATTCGCAATATTTCAATAGAAGATAATTTTTAATTTTTGTAGTTTAAAATTATTCATACTTGATTTTGAATCTTGATAGTATTCTTTGCTTACCTCATTCAAGTATTTCTTTGAAATATTATTACTCTTACTAGAAATTATATAAAATTGTCATTACCTGTCAAAGCTACTACTGTTTATATTGAATAAAATTGGATTTGTAGAAAGGAAAGAAAGAAATTGAGTGGTTCAGTTAGTACATTTCCGTAAAAAATTTATATATTTTACAATATATGTATTGTGTAACATTTTATCGCATACTGTATAGTAATGGAATTTATATTTTATTTTATTCTTATAAGATAAGACTTATCTTGTCTAGAAAAGAAATATCTCTTGAAATTGAACAATCGAATCAATTATATTTATTCCTTTTTGTTATGTAATTCCATATTATTATATTTAAGATGTAATAAAATAATCTTTAAAATTCATAAGTCTTACTACGAAACTAATATTTAATCGATGTATGAAATGAAAATTATGGAATCATCAAATGTACCTTTTTTAGTTTTGTATTGTATATTAAGAGATAAAATTATTTAAATTCACCACTACAGGTAACTAATTATGTATCATTTTTATTTCATATATATATATATATATATACATATAAAGTTTATTTATTTATTTCTATATTTTTTGTTTTTATATAAAATTATAATATTTATTGAAACTATTTAATTTTTATATTTATAGGGCAATTGAACTTGATAGTAAAAATGCAATTTACTATCATAATAGAGCTTTAGTATATAGTAAACTTGGAAATCATCATCAAGCTATAAGAGATTGCCATACAGCTATATCCATTGATCCAAATTATAGTAAAGCGTATACTAGATTAGGATTGGCTTATTCTAGTTTAAATAAACATAAAGAAGCAAAAGAAATATATCTAAAGGCTTTAGAATTGCAACCTGATAATGAATATATAAAAAACAGCTTACGAATTGTTGAAGAAAAACTTAGTGAACAGATTAACGAACCTACAGAAATTAGAAATACAGGGTCAAATATTCTTAATATGGATATTAATTCTTTATGGACTAATCCTGCTTTAACAAATATGGCTAGACAAATGTTATCAGATTCCACAATGCAAAACATGATGACTGGTTTAATAAGTGGAAATATTGATCAAGGTGCAAGTATGGATGCTCTGATCGAAACGTGCGTAAATATATGTTTTTGTTAATATATAAAATAAATAAAAATACATATCTAATTTAAATATATTTGAAATTGAATGGGTCAGAATAAGAATTATATAATTAATTTTAATGTTGACATATCTGTACATACAAATAATTTTTATATGAACTATTGTAAATCATTATTCAGGTTTTTTAATGTCCTCATTTCATATATGGCAAAAAATAAAAAGAGAATAAAGTACGAACAAATTTTAAATACAATACGATAGGTAAAAACATGAAAACTTAAGATGTCTGTTTACATGTAAATATACAATGAATATTTTTCACCTTACAAAAATGTTAAAAGAAAAGTGATAATTCCCAATTTTAATACTTAAGTCGAATTGCAGCTTCAAAATAAAAAGGCGATACTATTCAAAACGTAACTCCACTTCCAGTTTATCATCATCTTTACAATTCGATTTAGGTTATTTTATTATTGCCCAGACATTCCATATAAATTTTTTATTTCGATGCGTAACTCTGTATTAAAATATAACAAATGTTTATATTTAATTAAATTCTTTCATTGATATTTCTTATAAATCATATTTTTTAAGGTAATGTTAATCTCAAGAATACTTAATTTATAAAATTGTAGTTATATACATAAATGTATACATAAAGTTTCATATATTTAAATATATTTAAATAAATTTTATTTATGAGTATATTATATATTTTATGTATTATAATTAATGTGATTAATATATATATATATATATATATATGTATATATGTATATATAATATTGATATTAAGAAATTTATAATTGTATTTATTGATTATATGAATTAATTTTACGTCTAACAAGAACAGAGTTTTATAAAATATATTGCAGAGATTCATTTAAGGGAGCTAATATTACATCACCGTGTACTATTCTTTCTATTTACTAAATTTCATTAAATTTAATGGTTTAACAAAATTAAATAGTTTTTAATCTAATAATAATAGTTATGTATATTATACAAAATTGTTTGTTATCTTTATCAAAATTTAATCTAACGAGCCATTTCATAATTAATATTTACTTAAAAAATGTAATGTATTAAAACAAAAAGAATTTCTAACAAGTATAAAGAAATAAAATGCAATAATTCGCAATTTTATTATATTTATTATGTATTAATTTTAGAGGCCACCAACTTGCTCAACAAATGTTAAGCACTAATCCGGGATTAATTGAATCTCTTCGACGTCAAGTGAATAGAAATCCAAGCAATCCTGAATCTACGGAAAAAAAGGATTAGACAGTTAGTTATGTATATTGACATATTTAAAAAATTTCAATGAAATAAACAAATATAAATCAATAAATTAATTATTAACGTAAATATTTCTTCAATAATAAAAAGTTGTATTTGACAATATATATAAAAAAATTAACACCTGCTTGTTTTATTTCACATTAGAAAATTAATTATGCACTGATCATATAAAATATATTTTTGTATATATCACTAATTTTTTTAAGTACATGGAGATAATGTAATAATGTAGCAATACTCATTTAAATATAAAAATCCATTATGTATATAAAAAAATATAAATTAAATTACATAAATAAATGATAGATTTGTTTTTCTTCTGCATGTTAATTTACATGTATAAGAAACATGCTACGGATGATTAACTGAACGAAATATATGCTAAATCACTAAATGAAATGTTATCGGGCGTTTATGAAGTGATTAAATAACGCGTTTTCAAGGTTTTCCAGTGAAGAACACCTAAGAATTTTACTGTGTATTTAATTAAGATAAATCTAGATCAAATAAATATCTGAAAAAGATGTTAAATATTATGAAAGCTATTTATTTTGCATATACGAATTACATTTATATAAATTGAAGAAGTAGAGAAACAATTAGAAAACTCGATTGACATTTATAATTTTATATCAATTTTTAAATAGAAAGGTATACAGTGAAAAGCAACAATTAAACTGAAAATGAGTAAAGTTTGAGATAGCCTTCAATAGAAAAACAAAGGACTTCTACGAGATGAAGCAAAGAACATAAAAATCAATGAATTTGATCAACGATATAAAGTAATATCATTTAATATTCAATAGTTTATTAAATAAAATATATATTAGACATTGTAATATATTCTAATATGTTTTTACATTAATAATTAGTTATAATTATTTGCAATTAAAAATCATTCAGAAAAACTTATTGGTTAAAATACCATTGTACTAATAAAATATTTTTTATTGAAATATGAATTTTGTGTGCAAGAGTCAAATTCTAATTGTTAAACATAATAATAAGATTACTGTACAAAATGTATTCGCCGTTCCGGCTTGTTTTACCAAGGTCGGTTCGAAGGATAAAAATTGATGCCGTTGACAACTCGGAGACCACGGGTGTTGTGTTGTAGCGATGAAAGATCACAAGTGAGGGGATATTATAATAATACAATATAAATATGGCTGATACATATGCTGTTTATTTTGTTATTTATTTGATGACAAGGTTTGACTATTATTACTATTATTATTTATTGAAATAAATCTTGGGGTGGATTAATGTAATTGCGCTGGCAAACGTATACTCATCTATGCAGCGTGGTGGTTTGAGTATGAGCGCAGAATGGCGCAAAGTTTGATTCGTTGACACTCGCGCTGTTTGGATGAGCACGTGCGTAATTGAGGTTATGGTTATTATGTAGCGTGACACATGTATCTGTTGTTACTTGAGATATATTCTTATCGTATCAAGCGTACCTTGTCCTGATATTAGCGTACTGCAATACATTCAGATTAAAGTAAGATTTTGAAGGGCTTTTACCTCACAAAGGATACTGGTACTTGTGTCTTTTGCGAGCGTTGAATGGTATGCTGTCGATTCATAAGCGTCAGATTTTGAACTAAGGCGAGGGTAAGGCCGGCAAGTCTCGCATTGTTGATGCGACTTTGACGACGAGCTTGGAATTATTCCGCAGTGTCTCTCTGATGGGAGCCTCTTCTTCTTTGGTTGTTTATCGATCACGTATTCTGAATCTTAAGTTTTTATTTGATTATTGTAGTGTTGCTACTACTTATGAAGACTAATCATTTTCGAAATCCCATAGATGGATATAACTTCAATCCTTTCAATTTGTAACGGCGGTTTCTTGAACTGCGTTAATGGACATAAGGGGATATGTCGTCGTTCTTCTAGGACGTGTAACAACTGCTGCCTTGAACTGCGTTAATGGACTTCCACTTGACACTTATTTAAATAAGTACTGTATGGAGAGTGTTTGAATCTTGAAAAATGAGCACTTAAAAAGATTTGCTGACTATGAACTTCACTTGAACCCCTTCCCTTATTTTTCGTCCAATCAGAGACTCTGCCGTTACAGAGCGAGGACAGCGCCTCTTGTGGCTTCATAGTTAATTAAGGGCGTAATCGTCTCTTGGTCTTCACGACAAGAAGAGCTCTTGTTGCTACTGACGCATCTGGTGACAGTATGATAACTTGTTGACAGTGGGAAGGGCGTGGGGGTCGGCTAGTACATACTGCCTGGAGTAGTTACCGAGCGGAGCGAATTCGTACAGATGCCTAAAGAGTGGGTTTTTCCAGATGATTTATGACACTATTGCCCTAGATGGTTGTGAGTAAGAAAGCTTTGAAATCTAAAAACAAATTTACGATGTTATATTGCATTGAAAAAAGGTCTCGCAATCTCGAACAATTACCAATTTTAGAAAAGCTGTATTAAATATATCAAGTTTAAATGATGATTATTCATTATAGCAATTAATTACATTATAAGCATTTCATAATTATAGGAAATTTTATATTGATTAATCAATAAACATAAATCCTCGATAGGATTAATACAGAAATATATATGTAGATTGATATAATATATTAGTTGATTATATTTAAGGAAAATAGAAAAAGAAGTATTATAAAAATTATATGAAAACAATTTTAGTATATGCATAAATAAATTCTAAGAAAAAAAAATCTAGCTTTAATTATATGAAATTAATTTATAACGTATAATAAATACATAAAGTATAATTTTTATATTTATAATATTTGTTCGAAAGTTTAGTTTCTGGCTCGAATTGACAAATTCAATAATTCAGTTCATTAGTTAATTATTTCGCCATAACGATGCTTAGAAACGGACACATGTGGAAGGGCTGTAAATATTTACAGTATGTAAATCGTTCAGGACATCGTTTATTTTGTTTTATTGACAATTACATTATTGTAGTTCTATGTTCACTTCTTGTGAGAGAGAGGGAATTATTATATTATAATTATGTGGTTGCTCCTGGGTAATGGTGGATGTCGTTAATGCTATTATGGGGATCAACAATGGATTTTGTATATTCCCCTTCGGGGAATATGGCTTATTGAGTTCTATGCTGACGTTGTAAAGGTCAGCAAGAAGTGTCGACTATGCTCATCAGGTGAGCATGGGAAGGTGGTAGTGGAAGTTAACAAGGAGAGTCGGACATACTCATATGAGAAGTATGGGAGTATCTGTGTGCTAGTTATTTTCAATAAAGACAGATGATATAGCTTCGAATGTAGAAGGATCGGATACCATGCTTTGTGTAGTCGACTATTTTCTAGAATGGTAGTCAACCATTGACGGATTGTTTTCTCTGTGCACTGGAGAAGTGAACGAGCGTTCCTTGCAATGGATGCATTAAGAGAGCGTATGTTGCGTAACGTTCTACTTGTTGTAAACACCGTGTGATAGCGTGGTTTTGGTGTCGATAACTGACTAGGACGAGTGACTTATTATGTGGAATAACTGATACTGTGCACTTTACAACTACCGACACTGTTTACTGAATGACTGCTTTATGTGAACTACGTGGAGTCTTGATGCGCGCTTCCTTACATATTGGTGCGGCAACTAAAACCAGCTCGAAACAAGCCTTCGGCTATTCGAAAATTCGGCGAAAGCAAATGTAATCGTTCGAGGCTAAGCAGCGTTCGGAAAAGATCGAGAATTCGGCGAAAGCAAACCTTGAAAGATTCGAAAATTTGATCGACGTTGCTACGCGAAGGCTAAGCAGCCTTGTAGAACGTTCGAGAATTCGAGCGTTTGGCTAGTCGGAAAAACGGTATGAGAAAAGGTAAACTTTTCTAGAACCGAAAGCCTCGAATAAATGCTCCAATTCCAAACAATATTTATATAGTGTATTAAAAAACACTGCAAGTTTTATTTGAAAAAATCATTAATTTTTTAGTTGCATTTTATTTTATCAAGATTGCTGTAACTATTTATTACTGTAAAACGGTAATTATAATTGAATATTATTTTGTTCGTTTATAACCTTATGATTACATTTGTTAATATATTATTAACATCATTATTTAGATAACGGTACAATATTTTATTTCTTACCCTTTTGAATTATATAAACCTATGCGAGTTTAAATAAATTAATAAGAAAGAATGTTTATATGTACATGCAAGTTTAAGTACATATATTGATGGTATTCAATGTGATTACTCTTCTGTACGTTTGGCTTGAAATTTAAATACACCTGTGATTACGATAAATGCATTTTCTTTGCTTTTTCGTTTACTTGCAATATGTATTCCATTGCATTTAATTTTAATTTTAAAATGTTCGTGTTTTGTAAAAATATAGACAAATAAAGATTTGATAATTATATAAAGTACAATTTGGATTCTATTGATCATTACATCGGTCAATGACCAAAAAATCTTATGTAACATTGTCTAAAAATAGTATAGTATAGTAAATAGTATAGTATAGTAAATGTAGTAAAATAGTATAGTAAATAGGGCCAAGTATCTAAGATTAGGTGTGAGCTCTCAGATGTTGATAGGAGGATTGCAGGCTAGTTGACAAGATAGGACATGTATTCAATAAAGAGTAGTTTTGTTATTTAATTTTGTTTTATTTATATAATTGCATTAGTTGAATTATAATGAGTTTTAGTTGATCATTGAGTGCTTGCTTTTCTTGATTTGTATGTGTTATTGCCACTGAGCGATCAAGTACATTGCATACACAGGAAGAAGTTGATGCCTTACTGGTCTTCTATATGTCATGCACGTGTAGATGGAATAATACACACAGACGAGCGAGGTCGTAAACCCCCGCGCTTCTTTGTGTATGAGCTCATGGCGATTGCTAGAATTGCTTGTATTTGTGTTTTGCAGATAGCTTTACGTATCTGCAGATTGGCGCGTATGGCTTGATATAATTATGTATTAATTAGAAACGTTGTGTATAGCTATGTTTTGTCTTGTTCTTTGAATTTTCCTCGTGTGGCTCATTGCAGTTTGATTGTGTATACTGTGCGAACTGATATTCGTAGTTCTCGATTCTCTTCTTTTACTTGACTTGCACTGCTGCGAGTGTATGATTTGATTATCTAGCACTCGTCTTGAATAGAATAATCTTGCGTGATTACCTCGGACTTTCTGATTGTTTGACTGCGTTTATTTGATTTGTTCTTTTTCTATTAATATTTAAAAAGGCGTCGCCTTTTTCAAAGCCTTCTCTCGACCACGCGGCGGTCGGTAAGAATTCCCTCTCTTTTGATGTCGCCAATCAGAGCTGTCTTGTCGATTATAGCGTCGATATATGCCAATGAGATTTAGTCTTATTAGTGTGTCCAATCAGAAGTCTTCTTGGGTTTATGGTATTTCTAATCAAGGCGCCTTTCGAGTGGTGGGGTCACCCACCAATGAGTCTTTCCAAGATGGAGGCTCCAATGAGAGCGGGTCTTACTCAACTCCCCTTCATGACGAGGGACTTGGTGCCGCGCTTTTCCCTCTCCATCCTAGTATCATCGCATGCATTTCTTGCAATCATGCGCGTTGCGGTCGGTCAGTGTTGTGAAGGTTAGATGGTATTTGAGTGGATCATCTGGCTAGTGTTTTTCAGACTAATTTTATGACTTGTTTACGCCAGATGTTTTATGCTTGTCGTGGATAGATGCTTTGTGGCGCAGACGTATCAAATTTCTCGTCGCATTAGTTTTATGACGTCTTTTGGCTGGACACTTGGACCTTTGTTCTCGCTAGATATGTTTAGGAATTGTATTTTCTTCAGATATTCGAAAGTTTGCTGAATTGTTTAGATTTAGTTAATCCGGGGCGCGTTTGAATGTTTATGCCTTGAGTAGTCGATAGTCTGTTTTTTTCGGAACACTTATCTCGAATTTTCCAGATGTTTAATGAGCTGAAAGTTTTCTTACATTCTCGAACAAACATATTTCTTTTCAATATAAAAGGAAATTCGCTATTTCGAACACAATTTTACATAGCAAAAAATATTTACATTCTATCATAAAGATAGGTCCAATTAATATTTTATTTTTGTTATTATGTTCATTTAAATACATTTTTTATAAAAAAAAAAAATATTTAAATGATATTCACACAATTAATATTCAATGCATACTAATCGCATATTAATAAATATTAATTCTTAATACTTTTAATTATAAATTAAATTAAAGCAATAAAATAAAACAACTGGGCAGTATTGTTCAGTATATATATATATATGTATGTACGTATGTATGTATATATATATTTCGAAACTATATATAATGTAACAAACTGCTCGCAGAGACAGATAATTACGATAAAAAATTTTTTTTTTATTTCTTTATTTTCGGCAGCTGAACACAGTATAATTATCTTTTTATTATGTAAGCTATAGAAAATCCTATTGGCGTAATACAATATAAATAATAAAATTGTTATTAACAATCATGTTTTTGGCAGAATCAAAATTTTTATTTTACATATAAATATACTATTTAAATTACATACCCATAGTTCATTATAAATACAATATTATAAATTATAAATACAATAATATTCTTATTATTGCCTTATTTTTCATAAAATAAAGACATGCTTCTAGTTTAACGACTCAGTAGACTTCATCTCAAATTAAGTAAAAAAAAATTTAATTAAATATTTCAGAAATTATATTTTTTTGTTGTTGTAATTTCTGTTTTATATTATATTATATTAGAAGAATTAGTTTGAATAGGTATTTTGAAAAAATAACGTAATAAAAGTGTTTTCCATTTTGATGAGTTACTAATAATTATTAAAATCATAAACTCTTATTACTAATGCGGTTCTATAAAAATAATAAAAATTTATTTAATTTATTTTAATATTATAATATTACTTTAATTTATTCAATGCATATTACAAAATTCTGTTCATTTGTAATGAAAAGTTTTTAAACATCGTAGATTATATTTTATACTATGTATAATTAAAATATATTGAAGATTAAATTTTTTGTGAACAAAATTTTATTTTACACTATATTAAATTCTTTAATAAATTAATGTAGTGTTTAGAGTTTGATTCACTTATATTTGGCGCGTTTGTAATTTTTAACTAAATTAGAGTTGCACTAAGCATTTGAGGATGTGGTTTCCTGGGAACGTAGATAGTCCATTTTTTAAGACGTGCACAGTAATAGTGGAATCTTACTAAATCATTCAAATGTTGATAATTTGGAGTCTTAATAAAATATTTATAAACAATAGTGAAGATGATCTAATTTACATATTTAAATTTTATATCTAAATATTTGTAATGTGTGTATATGTGGCCATTTTCATAATGGTATAAATCAATGTTATTTTGCTATAAATTTTTTTAGTTGAAATTGAACATTTACTGGGTTCAATATTAAGATAATCATATTGATAACACCATATGTAATCTGTAACATTGTTAGTATATAATTCTTCAATAATATGCAGGGTTTTAAATTCAATAAATTTTTAATTTCGGCTATTTATACGTCCAAAAATCCACGCATATTGGTTTACATAAAATTTATGACGATATAAGTAACATTAATAATTATTTTTTGAATTACAAACAGAATTATGCAGCTACAATGTGTTTACTTTTATTATGCATATAAATTAAATGATATAATGAAATTGGATAAATTATAATTTACATCATGTTATTTTTATTACTAACCCGTTGGTATAAAAATAATATAAAAATAAAAATTATATATACTTTACATTTCCTACTAATTAATATTTTTTAATTAGAAATTGGTGAACATTAATTATTGCTATTTTTTAATCATTTCAGGTATATAATAAATTAAAATTTTTTTAGTTTTTATTTTAATGCAGATATTCAAATAAATATAAAAATTAGTAAATTTATTAATTAAAAAAATTAGTAATAAAATTAATAATTATTATGCTATTATATACAAACTAAATATATCAAATAATTGTAGTTAAATTTTTCAAGTAAAGTTTAATAATGTTTGTTGAGTGACAAAAGATATATTAATTTGAATCTTTTGTGATATTAATTTTCACAGTATTTATTAATTTTTTTATATATTAAGTGTAATTTGAAATTGAAAAATATAATACATTTTTACCTTAGAATATATTATTTTATTGTTAAATACTTTGTTTAGTTATACATTGGTAAAAATTAAATATAGATTATAAGGATAAAAATCAAAGGTTTTTAGAAAACAAGTTTTATAATTATAAGAATTAAAATATACATTTCAAATTAAATAAAAAATCTATTTTTTTGAGATGAATATTATGTCATTAGTTTTTTGTTTTATTTCTATATTTAATTAACTTCGATTAAATTTTATATCTCCTGTATAATTTGTTATTTTAGTTTGTTTTCTTTAAAAATAATTCTTTCATTCTGTATTTATTAAATATTTGATAAGTATAAATATATAATATAAATATAAATATATTATTAATATATATATCAATTCTTTAAATTATCTTTTTTGTATCTTATAAATACTCTTGCAAATTAAATATTTATAGTCAGTAATCAATAATTCTTTATTATATAATATGCATCGATTTGATTCATTTATAGCCAAATAAACTGACATTTGGAATCATATAATTTCATAGTTTCTTTATTAATCGCTACCTAATCTTCTACAATTTCACTAATCATTTTTTAGTTAAATATTTTCATTTTATGAGTTAATACAAATCTGAAATATAATGTTAAAACAATAATTTAAATTTTTTATTACAATATTAAAAATATATAGCTTATTATCAGAGACTCCAAAAACTATTCATATATAGAAATAATTTTAAATATATTTATTATATTACTTTATAAATATATGTATGATTCATAGTTCCAAACAATTTTGATTAAAATTGTTCTGTCTATTGTGATATGTACTTAACTATAGTAAAAATTACTTTTAATTTTAGATACCTTTAACAAAATAGAGTAATCGAATTTCCAGAAATGGCAGAGTTAGCTACACTACTTCATCAAGAAATTCCAGAAGGAAGACATAATCTTTCAGATAGTCATACTAATCTTGAACGTGTTGCTGATTATTGTGAAGCTAATTATTTTCAAGCAGATAACAAACGTATTGCTTTAGAAGAGACAAAAAATTATACTACTCAATCTCTTGCAAGCGTTGCTTATCAAATAAATACATTAGCATATAATTTTCTACAATTACTTGATTTACAATCTTCTCAATTGTCAGAAATGGAAAGTCAGATGAATCATATTTCTCAAACTGTAATGATTCATAAAGAAAAAGTAGCAAGAAGAGAAATTGGTGTACTCACAGCAAACAAAATGACTTCCAGACAGTATAAAATCATTGCTCCTGCAAATCCAGAAAAACCTATTAAGTATGTAAGAAAAAATATTGATTATACTATTTTTGATGACATTGGACATGGAGTACGAGGTACAGAAACTCCTAGAATTAAGCAACGAGGAGGAAGTCAAAGTAGTGTTCAGAGTTTAGGAGCATCTTCAACTGGTTCTGGATTAATTTCAAATATAGTAGGACCAGCCCCAACAACAAAACCACCTACTCCACCACAAGTAGGAAGAACAGGTAAATAAAATCAATTATATATAATGGTTCAGCTTTCAATATATCAAAAAATAATTAGTTGAAAGCAAATCATTTTTTTAAATAACATTTATATAAATAATGATAACAGGATAAATTAGTTTAGTACTTAAAAGTAATTTTGTAATGAAATTAGTACACTTAAGGCTATGTTAAGTAAAAGTATAAAAATAAAAATAAATAAAATAATTATAAAATATAAATATAAATAAATAAATATATATATATATATAATAATAATAAAAAATAATATAAATCATATGTATTAAATATTGTTAAATATACTCAAAATTCATGATTAGAATTTAGAAAATAAAACCACTAATAGTTTTTACCTATTCTATTTTTTATTTTAACTTTTTCTTTTTTTTTTAATTTTACCTATTTTACTATATCATAACCATGCTTAACTTAGAAAATACCCTAGAAAAACAAAATTCAATTTACTTTTTCACTTTACATTTATATTCTTCGGTAACTTATGCACTATTTTTCTTCTGAATCTATCTCTAACACCCTTAATCTTATTGTTTATTCCTCAAATTGTAACAAATTATATATTTGACAATATGGCAAATTATTTAGTAGGTGGAAAAGAATATATTAGCTATAATAATTAATAAACTGATTTATAATCTATAGATATAATGAATTCTAATTAAAATTATTCTATTATTATTACATAATTGTTATTATAAATGATTTATTTTGTATGCTTGAATTAATTTTATATATATTATTTTAATAGGAACATTAAACAAAAGCTCCAAAGAATATAGAACACCACCAGCTGTTGCACCTCCTCAAGTACCAAGTCATTATGCTCCAAATTATCCTTTAGGGCACCCTAGAAGAGAAAGAGGACCTGGATATAGTACTCTTCCAATGCATATTCACACTACACACTCTAATAATTCAAACATAATACTTAGTCATCCATTACAAGTTGGAACAGTACATCCTCTTCAAAATCATATACAAAGTTCAACAGCAACAGTGCAAAATTTAAATTCAATTCAGATTGGAATATCTTATAATCAGGAGCATCATATTAATATGCCACGTGAGTAAAGTTTAATTATATATGTTTTTTATATTCGAAATTTAATAAATATTTTAATTCGACTTCAATTTTGTTTTTCTACATATATTTGTTACAATCATTTATAAAAGAATTTGCTAGTAATTAAAGGGTGGTATATATTTAAAATTTGACAATAGTTTTTGTAGAGTTTAGTAAATATGTTTTTTTTTTTTGTAAAATATAAAGTCAAATTTTATACTATTCTACTTTCAGTTAATTATTGAACTGAAAAAAAGCAAAATTCTAATTCTTAATTTTAACAACTATATTATGTCATATATATTATTATATAGTATATATTAGTTTAAATTTTGTTTTAACAGCGTTAAAATTCATAATATTTTATCTTTTATAGAATGAGATTTTAATTGTGTTTATAGTTTGAATATAAATAAAATTAATTTCATTTTAATTAAAAATTAATTTTTATCAACTAAAAAGAGTGTTATTAAAATAGGCCATCAGCTTTTTTCTATTGTTTTTTTTTTTTGTATTTTCTTTTAATCATTTTACTGTTGGGTTAATAATGTGAATCTTTGTTTCATCTTTTCCTTTTCCATTCTTTTTAGTTAAATTTTAGATTTCAAAAGCTAAGTCTACATTGATTTATACTACTTGTTTTATATTTCTACTTGAATTTTAATTTAAAAAGTTACACTATATCTTGCAAGTTCTATGTAATCATTAATGTACTATTTTACAAACAAATTTCACGTTTATCTTACGTTTTTTAATAAATGTACTTTTGCATTCAAAAACAATAATTATTTGAAATCCTTTCAAAAAGTAGAAAAAGAACTAAAACCTATTCTTTTATTGAAGAAATATATGTATAAATATATTGTATTAGTTAAAGAACAATATAATATCATTTTTCAAATGAATCAGGAATCATAAATACTGATTCCAGATATAGAAAACTGTTTTTTTTAAATGTTTTTTTATTATCAATCTCGCAAAAAACAATAACTAAAAAAAATATTAACGTGATTATGAGAAATGATTAAAATATGGGAAATTTTACACTAGAAAAAAAAGTTTACTGAAGAATATTGCAATGCACATCTTGTGATATATATTGAAATGACTTTTTCTTTTTGTATTGTAAGAACATAAGATATGTACTTCTTATATCATAGCATTAATATATGTTTTGAATTAAGATATAATTATGTATAATAACATAAATAGTAGCTATACTTTTAATTCAAATGAATGAATAAACAATTTTTTTTATATTGATTTTTATTTTGTTAATAGTAAAATTAATATTGATCATTTTTAGCACCACCATCTCCGCTTACAGCAAATTCAGAAGTATTGGATTATTCTGGTCATAATACTCTACCTCATAGATTTCCTCATCAATATAATTGTAGTGGAACTGGTAGTCCTCCATTACCTCCACCTCCTTCAGATCATGAAGAACTTTCTCAATTTGGTAGATTAGTCTCATGTACTGGAACTATTAGACCAATTGTACCTGAAGAAGAAGATCTACCTGGATGGGTTCCAAAAAATTACATAGAAAAAGGTATTTGAAACCATTAACATTATTTTGGTTATTGAATATGTATTATTAAAATACTTATATAATTAAAAATAAATATGTATTATTTGTATTATTAAAAATGTTTTTATAAATATGTGACATCTAATCATTAAAAAATAAGAAGCATTGAGTCTTGAAAAAATATTAAGTCTTAAAAATTATAATAAATAAACTTGAACACAAATGTATCAAGTTATAGATAAATTTACAAATAAATTACAAATAAAAAATAAATAAATTTAATCAAAATTAAAATGATTACCATATTTATAAACACAAAAAGAAAAATGAAAATAAACCTAAATAAAAGATTAAATCAATGTATTTTTATTAATTATTTTTGAGATTTATGTACCATTCATAAATTGAAGAAGTTTTCAAAAGAAAATAAAAAATATTGATCAAACCACAGTATAACTATGTCTAGTTTAATGACCAGCATTTTATAATAATTGACAAAGTTATTGATTAAATTATAATACTATAATTTATAATGAACAACATATATTTTACTTTTGTATTTATATTACATCAGTGTGGAATAAATGAATAAATACTATAAGAGATTGAAATATTTTAAGTACTTGATTATACGTAACTCTTAAAACCAAAAATATGTTTTTGTTTAAACTAGATGTTAAAAAAATATGAAGATTTATAACAAATAAAAATAATTTTGTAACTTCTATATAAAATATTATTTACTCTGTATGTGATCTCATATTATCAATATCAAGTATTATCGATAAAAGACATTAATTTTGAAGAGCAAATTATGTTTTATAAATGAGATATTTTTATTACCAAAACCAATATAATAGACAATACTATATTAAATATGTAAATATTAATGCTTTTAGAAATTAGTATTGGAACTATGTAATACCACCGGTAGTAGGATTACATTATTTGTTAAAATGTCAAAATGTCAATTTTTCCTCTTATGAAAGAATTATTGCTCAATTATTATAAGAACATAATATAATAATTTTTTATATTTTTCAGGATATTTATTGTGTCTATTGCATTGAATTAATTTGAATAATTAAAAATATACATAAAATGTAAAAGCTTTTAAATATTTCTTTATTTAGAGGTTTTAGTATTTTATTTCAAATACATCATCTCAAAATATAGTATTATCATTGAATAATGTTCGAGAATATAAGAATACTCTCAACTCATTAGACATTTGAAAAATTCGAGATAAGAGGTCCGGAAAAAGCAAACCCTTGATTATGTAAACAAAAACAATTCATAAACACATTCGGCGAGAATATGCGATCAAAAGTCTAAAGAAACACGTCATAAAACATGCGGTGAGAAATTCAACGCGACCACGCCATAAAGTATCCATCGACGACAAGCCATAATACATCTGGCATAATCAAGTCATAAAAGTATAAGCAAAAACCACCTCGTCTGACATCCGAAAAAGGGATATTAAAGGCAACACTGCACGCATGCGCTGTTGTCAAACCCAGCTACATGTGGCTCGGATAGTGAAGCGAGAACGCGCCAAAGAAATCCCCCTCATGGTGGGGATGCAAGTAAGAACCG